AGCTTCGTGGCCACTAGAAGGGCCTGGCGGAGGGGTAATGCGGCTTGTGCGACGTGTAGTTGGGGCCATAGTGAGTGTTTAGAGTGATAATAGATAAATCGCAAAAATCGCGTTTCGCGATTTTTGGTGTTTTTGGCCCGTGCGCCACGAATTCGGGCACCCACTGGTGGATGTAAGAAAGTGAATGTGTGCACCTCGCTTATCTTCAACCTCTAGATATTTAGATACCCAAAACTTGATAACACTTTCGATTATCAACATTTTCAATTTATTTTTATCGCGAAAAAAAGATCGAAGTCTTAGCGTTCGAATCCAATTTTGCTGATATTTTTATCATAAGTTATACTATCGTGGTGTTGATTCGAAGACAAAGACTTAAATAAAGCGAAGATTAGCGTTATGATCGGCTGGTCAACTTAATACTGCGCGATTTCCCCACCCAAAACATTTCTTCCTTTCTTCATCTTACAACTCCATCACCACAACCACCCAACGCGTTCACACCATCAACAGAACGATCTGTTCTATTCTATCTTCGTTTACCTATTGACAATGCCCTACAGCACTCCGCCTGATAGCACGCTTCGTGATATTTCCGAAGCGGAGCTCCTGCCTCCAAACCACCTTCCGTCTTCTCCTCAATCTCTTCGATTTCCTCCGTCTCCACCATGCGATCCTTCCTACCATCAAACCCATCCCCTCCCCGACTTTCTCTGTCCGAGTACAAGCCTCGGTCTACTGTCGAGCATATATTCCAGACGGTCGAAACTTGGAGACTTTGTGGGATTCCAGATTCCACCCCTTCTTCGTTCGAGTTCTCTGTCTCCCCACAAGAACTCGAAGAGTTAGAGAAGAAAGTCTCTGATAGTCACAAGACGGTTGTTGATTTTTGGGACCGTGCAATTAGGTATGCTATTCTTCGTGTTGTTCTCTTTTACTAGCTGACTACTTTTAGATATAATTATTTATCTTCCGAATCCCTCCTCATCATGAAAGTGCTCACACGCAAACACGAAATCGCCGGCGCGGAGATTGTTAAATCTATTCGACAACAACTTGACATTATGAGTGCTATCGCTACTCAAATTGTTAAAGATTTCATTGCCGATATCAGAGAAGAAGCTTCTGCCGGTGTTGTGGCTCTCGAAACCACTGCGGTCGCTGGTGACAAGCATTGTCCTGACGGCTCTTTCACCTTCCGCCTAGCAGAGTTTCCGTCAGTGGTCATTGAGGTTGTCCACAGTCAACTGTTCAAGGACCTGAGAAAAATCGCCGAGTCTTACATTCTTGGCTCGAAAGGAGAGACTCGGGTGGTTCTTGGCCTGGACATTACGTACAAGGGCACGAAGAAGGCGCCAAGTAAAAGGGGTATGGTGTCCACATGGGTGTCGAATGGTCAGGGGCAAGACGTCGACCACCCCCATGTGGTCGAGTACGGTATCAAGAAAAAAGTAAGTTACGCCACGCAAACTGTATACTTATATTGATTTTGAGTAGATCTTCCGTGACGCGGACGGCAACTGCGTCAACCCCGAGCAAGGGATAACTATCCCGTTGACAGACTTCTGCCCAAAAGACTTCCTTCCCGCTGCCTGGTCTGCTGATGTTAAAGACATCTTCATTTCGAATGCTGAACTACACCGCGCAGCTGTAGAAGCAGAGAAGAAGATGGAGGGAGCTCCAGCGAGGAAAAAGGTGTTGGAGCAAAAGAAGTGCTTTGATAGAAAGAGGGTTTGGAGCGAGTCGTCCGATCAAGAAGATGACGAAGGAGACGATTCCGGTACCTCGCCTGAACCTTTGGACTGTAATAAGGACAAGAGATTCAAGTCGTCGGCTCGGACGCCTCCACCTTCGGATATGACCTTGCGGTCAAGGAGTGGGACTGGGAAGAAGAAGGGGGACAAGAAGAAGGAAGGGACATAAAGAAGGAGGGATAAGTTGCTTGTTGGTCTTTGGGTTGGAGTTTTATGGAGTTATGTTTGAGCTTAGATACCCGGTTTAGCGTGAGATTCTGCACGCTCTAATTCATATATGTCATGACATACTCTCCTCAGATCTTGTGATGGTGGACTATTTCAGCATTTATTTTTTACTAAGTGCCTAGAATTCCCGGACAAATACTGGTTAAAGTTATAGCAATCTTGTATCAATCCCGGATAAATCCCGTACAATATGCTCCCGTGGGGTTTGGGCACTTGAGATTCATCGCATCACGTGACCAAAAACATACATACTAGGTAGGTGTCCATTTTATGTCGAAAATCCCTCGGACCACCTTTTCTACACTTGGGACTAGGTATTTACTGCAACAGGATTTCCTTTCATGTTGTGATAGCAGGAAGTCGATCGTTCCAGACTCACAGAGCTGGGCCCAACTCGGGCAGCCGTTTCCGCTCTGCTCGGTAGGTTGGGCCGACTGGTTTTCTTCCAAACAGAACAAACGACATGGAAAAGCAGCGACTTGGAAGGCAGGCTCAAATTTGACCCAGAATCCCCCAAAGCTGATATTCCAAGTTGGTTGTATTCTATGCTGGTGGCATTCCATGCTATCGCGACTCGGCCACCCCGCTGTCGATTCTTTGAATTCCGGACGAGTTTTGACGGAAAAGCAGACATACATACAGTATCAGACTTCGCCGCAATCATACATCCTGCAACGCGCCTGAATGGTTCAGTGTCGCCTCACAGCAATTTCCGCCCTGATTACTAGCCAATACCCGGCTGATGTCAGAGTGAGAGGGCAGTAAGCTACCCTTGTTAACTGAATCAGGCTTCTGTTTCGCGCAAATGTACGAGGAGCCTCGGCGTGAGCGGCGCATCTTACCCCCGTGTCCATCATCGTCTCATACAAGACCAAAGGAAGCTGCTCTGTAAGTCTAGATACTGCGATAGTCCATTTGATTCTCGTTGTTGTTTTCTATAATTTCTCGTCGGTCTGAAAAAAGTCTGTGGATTCTCGCAATGCCTTCATCCAGCTTCACAACTTTAGCCCTGGCTAGCGCCTTGACATACCTTTATACGTACAGCTCGCAAGCGTCGCTATCAATCACCAATGCAGTGCTTTTGACGTGCAGTATATTCCTTCTACTCTATCTCATCTGGTCGTTGTTCTTGAGACCTGTCTACTTCAGTCCACTGCGCAATCTCCCTGGTCCAGCGGTACGTTATTAGTCTTCGACAATGAATTGTCTGATAATCAGTTCTAGAGAAAGAGTTGGAAGCATTTCTTCAAGATATATAATCCAAACGAAGTCCTCGAGTTCGTGGACACGGTTCCCAATAATGGTATCATACGATATCTGGATATCCTCAATTCTGAGATGATCTCAATCACTGATCCTAAGCTTGTGGCGGAGATGCTTGGACCAAGAGCAGATCACCTGAATAAGCGTCCCAAGATCAAAGTCATAATGGAAAGCATCTTAGGGAATGGCTTGGTTGTTGCAGAGGGCAAAGACCACAAGGTTAGATCCTTTTTGAGATATCTGATTAGCCCTCGAAGACTGGGAAATTTGCAACGTGTTCTTGGGATCAGTGTTGACGGATCACAGTACCAAAGAAAACATTTATTACCAGCTTTCAATCATAAGGTCATCAAAAATCTGTATCCGACATTCTGGTCGAAGGCGACCGAGATGACTAGTCTCATGACGGAGCAAATTCAATCAAGTTCCCCCAAGGATCTATCAATGGTGGTCGACTTCGATGACTGGGCTGGTAGAGTTTCTTTGGACATCATTGGCCTCGCTGGATTTGGCTCTGCGTTCCATGCCCTTTCAAGTCCGGAGACCGATCTTAACACTGCATATCGTGCTGCGTTCCTCCCAAACAAGAATTCCCGGATGTTCTTTATCTTGTCCCTGCTTACCCACCCCACTTTGGTTTATATGTTACCAATCGAGCACTCAAAGCGCTTACGAGAAGGTGTTAATGCTGTGACGAGATGGATCAGAGGGTTTATTGCCAAGCGTCAGCACGACAAGCCAGAAAAAACTGAAGGTTCCACGTTTGTGCATCAAGATATCATCTCTGCAGCGATGGAAGGCGGTGCTTTTGGCGTCGAGAACTTGGTTGATCAATCCAAGACGTTGCTTGGTGCCGGCCATGAAACGTGAGTGCTTGCACTGCCTGGTGGGTTCTTGCTAATGTCCTTTATAGTTCAGCGACGGCCGTGACGTGGGGTATCTATCTTCTTTCTCAACCTCGCTATGCACACATCCAGAACCGCCTCCGCCAAGAGGTTCGTGAATATCTTCCAAGCCCAAGCTCAGGGATCGAAGTCACCGAGGACATGCTAGAAAAACTTCCTTACCTCGATGCCGTTAGCAAGGAAATCCTGCGTGTATATGCTCCTGTACCGCTATTAGGTAGAATTGTACATTCACCCATGGAAATTGGTGGAGTAACATTCCCAAAAGGAACCGTGTTACTGGTTCATATGTGGGCTATCAACAAGTCGAAGAAGCTTTGGGGAGAAGATGCCCACGAGTTCAATCCAGACCGGTGGTTGAAAGACAAGGTAAATGGTGGCGCTACAGAGAATGGATTTCTTTCTTTCGGCGCGGGCACAAGGAGTTGCATAGGTAGAGGTAAGAATGACTGCCCCTCGATCGAATGAAGTTGACTGATTATTGGACAGGATTTGCCATAGCCGAGAACAAAGCGCTTCTAGCTCAACTTATTGGTAGCTTTGACATCAAACCTCCACATGGCGAGACGGAAGACTTAGACATATCGTGGGGTATTACTGCCCGCATAGTTGGCGGACTTCATATGAAGACATCCGTTCTGGAGGGTTGGTAATGGTATGCTGTGTTCATCCGATTTTGTTTGCTTGGGGGGAGCTGGGAAGCCAAACGAATGGATACCGTTCCGTCTCATACGATTTGTTGAGTCCATCCTCTGTCGATATAATTATCTTGCGCTATGACTCTTCAAGTTCCTCCTTTCTGAGTTTTGTCTAATTGTGCAGCTTTGCCAAAGATTTGTCAGCGAGAGGAACCTCAAGTGTGGTGACCCCTTTGGATCTCCATTCTCTACCCACATGTCCTAAATGATCGCCGAGGTGGAGTCAGCTGTCATATTTGTCAATTAGTGTGCTTTATTTTCATTGAGTACTGAACACGCCGTCTCGGGTATGTCAATTTGCCTCTTGCCTCTATGTTTATCCACTTTTGCGCTAGTCATGCGCATGGCATAAGGCTCAAAACTATAGTCATGCTGTAGTCACCGCAGCATATCCAAGTATCGGGTCGATTGTTGTTCCGGATGACCTCCGTCATCTGTTCCGGGCAGCATCTTTAGCTTGTACCCGATCCAGATCCAGTGACCCGAGTATGATTTCATTCCAATGGACAACATCAGCATATCCAAGCACAGTCTCGCGGGCACCGTCAGACCAAAAGGGTTGTAGTACCCTGAAAGGTATTCCGTCCTCGAATTTGTAGGAGGCGACCCATTCTTGGAGTCCATACAGGAGCTGACAATTTCTCGCGCTGAGGGATACCCGACCCGAATATGGCAAACCATCATTTATCGCTCGGACATGCTGAACTGGAGAAATAATTTTCCACCAACTGTAAGCTCTACTACAATTCTAGGAACCACAGTATCGGAAGGTTCATCCTGTAGGAAAAATAATTTTGCGGGGGATCTGCGATTACCCCGCTACCGTATCCGTAAAGTCCAAAAGTTTATACTTAGCCGGAATGATTGGATGACATGCCCCACAGTATCTTCAAAAGGTTGAAATTTTCGAGCGTGTGGGGTTATTTGATAGTCACTCAACATTGTGTTCTATGTTTGACTGAAGAATAAAAGGGCACATCCATTTGACTGAAGCTTGGCATACATTTAAATTGCGCGGTCGCCCACCGACGTTGTGTATGTAAGAAAAACTTGGAAATATAGAGCCCGCTTCTCCGAATCAGTTCAAGAAAATGTTTTTGAGATCTCTTATTCTATTTGGTTCTGCGTTCACCGCTTTTGCTTCTTCAGATTGCCCTCCTCCTCGAAGCAAAGCGTGTGTCATACCTTCTCAGTACATATCTTCAAATGGCTCTGCGGATGATTCTCCAGCTGTTGCGGCAGCATTCGCAAAATGCTCAAGAGATTCGGTCATAGTCTTCAGTGAGAGGGTTGACTATAACATTTTTACTCCAATATCAGCTGGGAACCTCTCAAATGTCGCAATATTGATGCATGGTAATCTACACTTGCCACAAGATGTCGTTGCTGTTCAGAACCTTGTCAATGCCTCCAACGCTCTTACCTATTCGTCTGCGCTCTATTGGTTCACGTTTGCCGGACCGAACATAGATTATGTCGGTACATCCAACGTCTCGACGAGTTGGATTAATTCCTATGGTCAAGCTTGGTGGGATGCGAACTCAGTAAATGGTACCGGAATCGCCAATCGTCCTCATCTTCTCTCCTTCAACACGACCAATGGGTCCATGTCTTATTTCAAGTCCCGGAAACCCATCGGATGGAACGTTCAATTGATCGGAAGTAACATAACCATCACCGACACCATCATCGACGCATATTCTACAAGCGGCAGTTTCCCCTTCAATACGGACGGATTCGACGTTACTGGAACAGACATCAAGATCCTCAATAGTGTCATATTCAATGGTGATGATGCCATTGCCGTACAATCCGGGTCCCACAATGTCCTGTTCCGAGGCGGGACAATTGGGTACCAAAGTCATGGGATGTCAATTGGTTCACTGGGACAGAATCAAGCATCCTTCGCCAATGTCTCAAACATTCACTTTGACGACATAACTGTTGTGAATGCAGTATACGCAGCTAGGTTCAAATCTTGGGTCGGAGGCCAAGGACTGGCCAAGAACATAACTTGGTCTAATATGCGGGTTTATAACGTCACGTACCCCGTCTTCGTTACCCAGACGTATATAAATCAAGGCAGTACACAGACGCAGCTCGAAAGTGGTGCCGTCAGTGAAAGGCCTAATAACTCGTCTGTAGTTATGCAAGATTTCACCTGGGCGAATTTCACTGGAACGATCAATACGTTTTCTCCTGGAGACGGAAGTTGCGTTACTGACCCGTGCTGGTATAATGTCGGATTGGTCGAGGAGGTTCCTGGGCTGCATACAGAAGCTGTGGTGATTGAGTGCAACACAAATACCTCGTGCCAAAACTTTGCTTTGGAGAACATACAGGTTATACCACAAGATTTGAGCCAACCAACAGTTGTATGCTTGAATGCGACACAGGAATTAAATCCAAGACTGGGATTCTCCTGTCAAAACGGAACGTTCGTACCTTCCTAATATTCTGATGGGGAGTCAAGGGAACCTTGCTAGAAGTAATCCCATTCGACAAATCAAAAAGAACGTATCAAGAGAGTAGAAACCAAGACCCCAAAGATACCCAAAGCCTGAACCATTATTGCGAACGTTACGAACGTCCAGACATTGCCGCAAGCTGGGTACCGATATCAGTATCACGAGCTACTGTAGTAGCTTTTTGGGCTCTCTTGTCGAGGACATCTCGTTTCTTTTGCTGCTTCTCTTCTTCCGTCTCCACCGCCGTAACAACCTTCTCTGTAGGTTTCAACGCTTTCCCCCCAGTCTTCCCCGGTGCACTTGTTCTTTGAGCTTTGCAAGGCACACACAATACTTGAAAACCTCGAGCAGTCTTCTTGGTCCGAAGATTCTGGCAAGAGCCTTTGCCATTGTTACATACACCAACATTGTCTTGTGTAGGATCTGTAAAGGATAGGTATGGAGGAACAGTAAGGTCGAAGTCTGTGGGATCAAGGAGTGTTGGGAACTGTAGTAGAGCCAGAGGCTCCAAGAGAGTTTCCGAACGCAGGAGCTGTTTCGCAGATCCGGGGATCCAGATATTGATACGAGGCTGCAGAGTGTGGTAAAGCAGTAGTGGACGACTGAGTTGGAGGTCCAGGGATTGGTGAGGTGTTGAACACATCTCATCTCTCTCGCGAGTGAGAATACTGATCTGAGATTCGAGCTCGTCAAGGGTGCTAGTGTTGAGAGCACTTGTCATGCGAACAGCAACTACGGCGTTGCTGTATTGCTGGACATGATAGTTGCCATATTGTGGATTTGGCCCAGTGCTGTAAGTCGAGTCCGTAGAAGACTTGGCGATTGGGGTAAGATATGATGGATTGACCGAGGGGATGGCATCAAACACGTCGTTGGCCGTAACTGTGGAGCTGACAGATAGGACGGTCGGAGCAGTGCTCAAAGCAGGATCAGTAGTTGGAATTTCAAAAGATGAAGCTGCAGACATGGTGCCACTGGAACTTGAGGCTACAATAGTGTTAGTCAATCTATACTTGATGAAAGAACATCGTGGAATTCAAGCTTACCTTGGGAATTCATTTTTTGACGACGTTTCTCGAGTCTTTTCTCCCTAACTTGCTGCGTGCTTCATTACCAGAGAAGCTTCCTCGCATTTCAGCTTTGACTTGGCTAGCTCTCTCTGTGTCGATCTTCCCAGTCAAAATTGTCTTGCATATTCTGTGAACAAGATATCCGCAATTTCATGCTTTTACGCGAAATATATCTGCGATCGAAGAAGTGGGGAATCACCGAAAGATCACCTCAAAAGATTGGGGTTTTATGCAAAGAGTTCGTCAAGACTTACGAGGCCCTTTACTACATGCAGGATCCATTGAGGATCAAAGTTTGTTTGATCAACAACCACTCTCTGCTCCACCTCGGTTCGTCATTCTCTTCTCTATGGTTTTCTACCCTTTGAAGATGTTTGCTTTTCTTGTCCAATGCATCGTTTGACTGTGATCACTAAAAGCTACTTGAATATAGCTAGTCGTTGATGTTGTAGCCTCGCTTCGACATTGTTTCTTCGTTCTTGCATTCTTGTTTTGGCTGGTTCAAATATCAAACCGAATGCTTCTACAGCTTCTTTCGTCGTTAAACTTCTACGACTGGCTGCATTGTTAATCAAGCTTGCATCACTAACCTCTTTGTAGAAGACCAACTTCGCGACCTTGGACCTTCTCCAGCTTTTTGGTCTTTCGTGATGGAGAGGTATATCGGTGTTTTAAAGGGGATGGTGTCGTTGATGTCTAATATGGGTATGGATTTGGCCAACAGAGTGATTACGAAGGAGCGCCTCGACCACCTTCCTCGAGTCGAAACCATATTCGCTCCTCAGCAGGTCGATCTTACTCAAGGTGCTGAATATCCGAAGTTCAGTCAGATCATGGTTCATAATAGGTGTGAGGATCATGGTCAAATCATGGTCAAATCATGGTCAGATCTTGGTCAATTATCCATGATTTTCCGTTTGATGCTACCGCAGGGCGTACTTGATGGTTTTGAGCGAATCCGGGTCTCAAAATCGTCGGGCCGAGATGCTTGCAGGTCTTCGGGAGAAACCTACAGTAGCTTCGGTTCGGCAATCCAACGTAACCTTATCCGTCCGTTATCGCTCGGGACAAGAGAGTAATGTATTGGTCTCAAGAATGCAGAGACTCCTACAAAGATGACAAGATGTCATCAGAAGGGCGATCTTGTCATGTTTCTCCTGCATGCTTATTGAGCGCGTCCAAAGCCCGAAGAAACTGGGGAAAATGAGCCAGAAACCGCGCCTGTAGCGCGGCCTGTTCCGCACTTCTGACGAAGTTCACCACAATTTTTATCAAACTTGCACACCAACATATTTTGCTTGCGGTAAGGCAATCGGTACCATCGGCCTTGTATCGTATTTTCATAAGTATATATAGACTCTACTCCTCTCTCTCTTTCGTTTATTTGTATCAGAGCATTGTCTTCTGTCTTCTCAGGTCCAATCAGATTTCATTCCTCGTTCCACCAAATCAATGGATTCAAAACAGTTCAGAGAAGCTGCCACTTCCGCAATTGACGAAAGTTTGTGACTCCCTACCCTTCTATACTAATAGTTACTGATACCACCAGTTGTCAATTACTACGATACGATTGCAGACCGCAGAGTCGTTTCGAACGTCGAACCCGGGTATCTCAAAAAGATCCTTCCCAATGGCCCACCACAAGACGGAGAATCATGGGCAGAGATCCAGAAAGATATCGAAGCCAAGATCATGCCGGGGCTTACACATTGGTAAGTTCGCAGACTTTCCCCCTACGTTAGCTGACCATCACAGGCAATCGCCCAACTTCATGGCTTTCTTTCCTGCGTCGTCCTCATATCCTGGAATGCTTGGAGAATTATACTCTGCTGCTTTCACAGCACCTGCTTTCAATTGGATATGCTCGCCTGCCGTCACGGAACTCGAAACGGTTGTACTCGACTGGCTTGCTAAGCTCCTCAATCTCCCAGACTGCTACCTCTCGACAACTCATGGAGGAGGGGTTATTCAAGGATCTGCCTCTGAGGCTATCGTCACCGTGATGGTTGCAGCACGCGATAAATATCTTCGAGCAACGACTGCTCATTTGTCCGGTATTGAGCTCGAAGATGCTATTGCATACAAGAGGAGTCGAATTGTCGCATTGGGAAGCGAAACATCACACAGCTCGACGCAGAAAGCAGCGCAGATCGCAGGTGTTAGATACCGGTCGATTCCCGTTTCGAAGGAGACTGACTTCGCCTTGACTGGTGCTGCCTTGGAGGGAGTGCTCCAAGAGTGTAAAGCTCAAGGTCTTGAACCGTTCTATTTGACGACCACGTTAGGGACGACGGCAACTTGTGCTGTCGATGACTTCGCTTCTGTCGCCTCGACTCTTGCGAAATATGCACCACCAAACAAACCTGGAGAGATCTGGGTTCATGTTGATGCAGCGTACGCTGGTGCAGCTTTGATCTGTCCAGAGTACCAACACCTCACAGCTTCATTTGAGCATTTCCATTCTTTCGACATGAATATGCACAAATGGTTGCTCACGAACTTCGATGCCTCATGTCTGTTCGTGCGGAAGAGGAAGGATTTGATCGATGCGCTGTCAATAATGCCAAGCTATCTTCGCAACGAGTTCAGTGAAAGTGGCTTGGTGACGGATTACCGGGATTGGCAAATTCCTCTCGGGCGACGGTTCAGAAGCTTGAAGATATGGTTCGTGCTTAGAACATATGGTGTCAAGGGACTTCAAGCCCATGTCAGGAAGCACATCAAATTTGGAGAAATATTTGCTGCCCTCCTTGAAACCAGAAAAGATCTTTTCGAGATCACCACAAAACCAGCATATGCGCTGACGGTTTTCAATATTGTACCGAAAGTTGCGGACAAGAAAGAACAGGACAGGATCACCAAAGATGTGTACGAGTTAGTCAACAAGCGGGGCGAGATTTACATCACCTCAAGCGTTGTTGGAGGTGTATATGTCGTCAGAGTCGTCAGTGCCAATCCCCTGGCGGAAGCAAGGTATCTCAGAAAGGCGTTTGGAATCTTAGTGGAGACTGCAGAAGAGGTTCGCAATGGAAAAGTCAGGCAAGACGCACCCAATGGGACTGTACTCGACATCAAAGGCGTCGGAGACGCCGTTCTTGTGAAGGAGAATGGTCTCACCAAATAGAATCACAAGACCAATAACTCGGCTAGGCCCCTGAAACTTGAGTCTATCTGCGAGAGTGATTGAAAAAATCTCCTATCTACCGTCAAATTTTCAGGACTTGGAGGTCCCTTTGCAGACAATGGTCAGCATTCTGAGTGAAGATAACAAGACAATCTCAGTTTATTCTGTCATTATGATTGGTTCCAGTCAGCCTATGGTGGCACATATCAAGAACAGGCTCGGAATCTAGATCTTACTCCGGAGATCTTGATTCAATCTGAAAATCCTTGACTCAATCTGGAGAGAATCCCTGACTCAATCTGCTGCATGAGAGCAACCGGAAGTTTATCCAGTGACTCTCTTAGTATTTGGTATCATAATTTCAGCTTCTCACGGATCTTTGACGATGTTTGTCTGTCTTTCAGTTTGCCAAGACTTTTCTCTCCTCTTCGAAGTGGTTGTTGAGACCAATTCCTATGTGTAAAATTGCGTTTCAATTCTTCTTGATACACATGAGCCAGGAGGCGTGAGATTGTGGCTTGCAGGAAGGGGTGCACCCTAGTGAGGAAATGGCTGGGGGTCTGATAAGCAATGTGGGGTATCCGCGCTTTGCATTTCACCCACTATTCACTAAGTGATCAAGCCTTGCCAAGGGACGCACTGCCGTTGGCCCAAGCAGCGCCCGAGTCTAGAATTTTACGGTAGGGTTTTCCTTCGGACTTTTCTTTATCTTTGGAAAGCGCCAGCCAACTGGAACTAAGTGGTCGTGTCCTAAGCGAGGACAGACATGTCTGGGAGCCCACGGGCGTTATCAGAACCCAGCATCTGAATGGCTTCCAGCACGCGTGCAGATTCAGATTGAAAGACAACCACAGCCTGACTGTGGCGGTATCGCGATAATGGACAAGCCTCTATGATTCGTGCCGGGTTAAGTTCCTAATGCAGACTCATCCTGGCCTATACCTCGATTCCAAACTTTTCACTGAAGCTGAGCCCTCTCATATTGTGGCTTTCTTTCGGCTTGCACCAACACGGTTGCGATAAGGCCTGAGCTGTTGATTTGTCTCTTGGGCCTGTGTTTGATCAATCCACACAACAATTCTTGTCCCGTTATTCCTTCCTATTCGTTCCCAATTAAGTTTGCTCTGGAATTCGTGCGTCGGCCCCGCGGGATGCCCAGACCTGTAAGATCATGCAAGGAAAAAGAAACGCAGCTCTGGGTCCGGGATCTTCCCAAAGTAGAGCTCATATATAACTTAGCATAGCTCCGAATACTTTACGTGTGTACTCAGATTTGCGTCCGCGAGCCTCTGTTTCCCTCGAATTCGTTCCTATACATCTTTGACAAGATGTCGAACACGACTGCTGAAGATCCTATCAACCCAGACTGGCTCAATAAGGGAGACAATGCCTGGCAACTCACAGCTGCCTCCTTGGTCGCTCTTCAGAGTGTACCAGGTTTGGTAGTTCTGTATGCCGGCTGGGTGAAGCACAAATGGGCGATCAACTCAGCCTTCATGGCATTCTATGCTTTTAGCATGGTCTTGCTGTGTTGGGTGGTATATGCATACAAAGCGGCATTTGGAGAGCAGATGTTGCCTTTTGTAGGCAGACCTGGACCTGCCATCGGTATGAGGTCTCTCCAAGCCTAGAGAATGTTGTATTCCTAACTGTTTCTAGGAATGGACTATCAATTACGGCAATCAGTCATCCCCGCCGGAGACTTGACGCAGAATTTTCCTCAATCGACCATGGTGTATTTCCAATTTGTTTTCGCGGCTATCACTCTCGTCCTGATTGCTGGCTCCTACCTCTGCCGCATGAACTTCTTCGCCTGGATGCTGTTTGTGCCACTCTGGTTGACTTTCTCTTATGTGGTCGGCGCTTTCTCCATATGGGGAGGCGGATTCCTATTCCAGATGGGTGTCATTGACTACTCTGGAGGATATGTTATCCACTTGTCAGCAGGCACGGCTGGGTTTGTTGGAGCGTGGTGGATTGGACCTCGAACAGAGGAGGATCTCGAGGACAATCATCCAAACAATATCTTGATGATGCTGGTTGGAGCTGGTATCTTGTGGATTGGCTGGAACGGCTTCAATGGTGGTGATCCTTATGCTGCCAGCCCCGATGCAGGTGCTGCTGTCTTGAACACGAACATCTGTACCGCTGTCTCTTCACTCGTCTGGGTTGCTATGGATTTGGCATATTTCAGAAAACCGTCCGTCATTGGAGCTATTCAAGGCATGATTACTGGTCTTGTCGCTATTACTCCTGCTGCTGGTGTTGTTGCCGGTAAGTCTATCCTCTAGCATAACAAGAGAAATCTAGGATGAATGCCAACTAACTTCTCTAGGCTGGGGTGCCATCGCTCTCGGTGTCGGCTCTGGAACCATCCCATGGGTCTCCATGAATATTGCTGGGCGACGCTTGTCTATCTTCTCCCACGTTGATGATACTCTCGAAGTTTTCCACACCCACTTTGTCGGCGCTCTCGTCGGTGGCATTGGAACAGGTCTCTTCGCTACGTCAGCTGGTTGTGCTGCATTCGGCATCACCAACCCCGGAGGAGCCATTGACGGGAACGGAAAACAAGTCTGGCTTCAGATTGTTGGAGCTCTCTTCATCATTGGCTGGAATATCGTCTGGACATCTCTGATTATGTGCTTTATCAAATATGTGTTGAGAGTTCCTTTGAGGATGACTCAAGAACAGTTGGATGTCGGTGACTATGCCGTGCATGGCGAGGAGCCATATACTTTTGCGCACTACAACATCAAGCATCCTACACCACCGCTCATGAAGAGACGAACAACCAAGAAGGGAGACGAGGAGACTCCCAGAGGTGCGGTGTTGATGGGTACCAATCCTGCCGAGACCATTGAGAAGAGTAGCTCTGGAGGAAGTGTGGGGAAGAAAGAAGATTCTAATGTTGCTGTCTCGACTGGGGCACAGCCTATTGACGAGTAGATTGGTTGCAGTGGGGACATACTGGGAGTGGAGGTGGATTGTGTGATACCTATTTGCTGCATTTCTTTGTCGGGGTCTATAGACTGGATGTAGGAGAATATATGTGATAAAACCATTGCGATCCTGGTCTGAATCTTTGTGCGTTTCGTCCCTCGTTTTCCATAGATGCTTTGGATAACGTTTATCTCTGCGTACCGGAAAACTTTGCGTGCTAAAATAATTTTATAATTTATAAATTTTAAATTTTTATTATATAAATATATAAATATATAAAATTATAATTCGTTTATTATTATGTTTTATTTTTTTTATAAAAATTTAACTTGTAAATTTTTTTTTTTCGAGATAGAGATGCATAGTGAAGGATGCTCTCAGATATCTGCATATAAAATTTCTACTACTTTTTTTAACACTACTACGGTATCGCTTTAACCATGTTGCAATTCTCTCTGCTGCAGTACCAAGCTTGGCATTCACTTAGTGCACGGGCCACGAACCCGCATTTGCAACGTCGTCCTCCGTTATGAAAGAAAAACTTACCAGCCAGGTCACTGCACAACAGCATCTGCCAGCATCTGCCAGCATCTGCCAGGTCTGCCAATCCATTTCCGATCATCGTGGGCAAGATCCTCATCGCCCAACCTTCGCCATCAGCACGGGAATGTCTGCCCTCTGCCTATCTTTCTGGTTTTGTTGGCCTCGAGAGATTGCCTCCAGACTCTTGTTTTACTGAAACCATATGGCTCATCAGCCCATGGCCAATTACCCGCCAACGGCCGAGCAAATTGAAAACCGTGTGAAGGTCTTTATTGACTCTATCGACTCAGATGCTGTCTGCAAGTTAGCTTCCCAGCACAATTCATCTAAGACCTGTCACATGTTCCGGGATCCTTCGATTGTAACTTCTGCAACAAAGCGATGATGCTGTATTTGCTCTGCACTGCTATCTGCTATGATTTCATGCTATGGAGCCTGACACTATTTTCATGCCACCCTACGAGGTTGCAGCTGCAACAGCCTTGCCTTTTCCATTTGAATTTTCCTCACTCACCCATTGGTTCAAGTACTCCGGCGGATTGGGGACCTTGTTCTCGTCGGAATAGGTTCACCCCACTGTAGCCACGAAGGCACAATGCCAGTCCAGACCTTAGCCGTCAAAGCATCATCCTTCAAGTTCTTCCTATCCTCGAGTGGCTCACCCGTCCGAACCTTCGCACTAGCTGTATGGATGCGGACGCGGAGGATGGACGTGCTGGTCATCTCGGTTTTGGTGGGTGGAACTCGGGAGTTCTCCCACCGTCCACGAATAGTGTTCTCCGTAATTGTCTCCATTGCCCACATCTTCTCAGCCTCGTCGCTGACTACAGTGGCATATCCGAACACGACAGCGGAGCGATAATTGCAGCTATTGTGGAATGGGGTGAGTGACAGGACAAGCCCATCCAGGATCGAAGCCGAAATGGTGATTGGAAGTCCGCGAGAGGCGTGCTCATCAGACTTCGGCAGCTTCATGAGACGCGCTGAACGTAACCATGGAGATAAATATTGGCATCGGGGGCTTCGTCTGCGGATGATTTTCCACCTTGAAAAGAAGCCGTACAGCCCAGCATAGGCAGGACAACGGGGAACGGATCGTCTCCAGGCTCAGCCGGGTTGAAGGCGACGTGGAGAAGAGGTGTTGCATCGACAATGCCATGGATCATTGCACGATCGTAGAACGCTTTTTCCACCATGAGCTTCATTGTGCAATTGGGATGTGGAGAATTGTGCTTACCCCGGTTTCGCACTCGATTAACGGCATTCAACGGTGTCTTCTCGTAGTTTGCACTCTCAATGTTGCGCGGGTAGAGTTTGCTGGTGCAGAATTCAGAGTGGTTGAGGTTGAGGTATCAAGTCCGTCTGGGGAGACTGGGGAGATATCTGAGGTGGGGAGAGTTGGACGTGGAGAAAAGTGCGCGATATGAATACATCGAATTACTTGAAATTGCCAGCGGCGACGAAGGTTGGGATCGCCTAGCACTCCTCGACAATGTTAAATATCCCATGGAACAGATGCTGCAGCGTATGCAGTACTATAAATTTATTATAGTGGCACCGCTTAAAGCTATTAGCATCCCATCCTCAAGAGTGCGTTTTGTTCAAGAGTCTTCATATGTGCTGAAACCGGAATTCACAGTCGACCAGTGGAAGCTCTGCACTTTAATACCTCTTAAGGATGCCTGGGACCGGAGTTATAATCCCGATATGCTGAGTCCAATGCCCTGTCCTGGATTGCAGACGTTGGCAGAGCAACACTTAAGGATCGACTTTCAATTTGGTGGCGCAGATCAGGTGAAAACTTTTTTCATTTGAAGCATAAACTTTGGGAGAGGCTAACTTCGTTTTACAGTGTGGAATCTTCGAGTTTGCAGAAAGGTTTCTTCCCCAGCTTGGGTACAAGAAACGTGCGCATCTGATGAATCCAATGCTTCCAAACCTCGTTGGCGGAAAGATGTCTTCTTCCCATCCGCCAGACACCAAGATCATGTTTCTCGACGATCCCGAAGCAGTCACAAGTAAAATTTGTGCAGCAAACAAAACGTGGAAGAACAGCTCTATGAATAGCGTCCTATCCTCCTTGAGAGATATATTGATACTAATCAGCGAACTTCGACTGCGGAGATTACGAGAGAAAGGAACGGACTATACACAAGCTATTAGCGTTGCGAATTATCGACGAGCATTCTATAGAGAGGATGCTCCGGTAGGGACTGTGTTTACAATCGAAGTGGGAGGCGAATATCTACTTTATAAGTCCTACGAAGAAGTCGAACATGATTTGACAGAGAACAAACTTCCACCTCAAACCCTAAGCATAGCTGTGGCTACTACATTCAATCAGCTGCTGTAACCCATCCGCAGCAGGTATCTGGAGACGGAAGCGTGGCAAGCAGTAGACAAATTAACCTATCCTCAGGATGCTTAGTGTGCTTACATGAAGAGGAGCTACCTATGTAACCCTATAGATATCGATACCTAGCGATCAACTAGTTCATTTCTCGCAGAGTTCCCTTGAAATCCGTGATGACTGATGCTGCTTTATTCAAAGTGAAACTGATAGCCCATGACTTTGTACTCCAATCTACCCCCGAGAATTAAAAACGACCCTTCAAATCGGGTCTTTCAGGTATTCCCATCTTTATATGAACATTCATCATACTATTTTTTGTCCGCCCCGTTGCCTATTCGATATTGGTATCTTGGAGTGGAAATTGAAAGTTTTACAGTGAGGGATGTGAGACGTCAAGATGTACTTTGGTTGCGGAGCTCGAGCTTAATTAATGGTGGCGTTGGTTATCGAGTTATTTAAATCGCAAATCCACTTAAATACGGCATGCAAGCTAGCTCGCTTGAAGCCGCAGAGCGCACCGCAGAGCAGCACAGCCTCACAGCCTCACAGCCTTAGGCACGTGCAGTTTTTTAGAATTGCAGCTTAAGTAGAACACCGTGGTTCAGATTCTTCAAAGAATATAATCTTACCTTTTTTTTATTCCCCTGATAACACTTCCTCCACAAGCCATACTAGCAATCTTTTCTACACTTAGGACGAAATGAGTCAGGCTACTCCGGTGCGGGTAATCCTTCGATATCGCGAACAACCTTTTCAAAATCTTAACGCAATCATCAACGCTTTTGTTAAATGGCGTGATATTCAACCTCTAGAAGACTACTGTACACATATATGTAGCAATCTTCATTCTTCTCTGTTATATCTCGTTCTCGATCTCTACTGCAAAACATGTCCAAATGTCCATCTCAACGAATTAAACCTCGAAGTCTTTAAAGTCTCGGGAATTGATTCATTGTGCGTTACCTCTTCTACGACCTAACTAAACTAACTATATTTAGTACATTTCAGGATCTCGGAGAGGCAGCTCGCAAGAAGGTTTACCAGCGATCTGTTTCTCTGGACTGGGGGGAAGGCAACCAGTCTAGTCAGAGGAATTAGTCGGTGTTGTTCCAGCACAGGGAGGACAGGATCCCGCTATATCCGTGTCTTGTGTCTCAAGACTCAACGGGAGATCTCTCAGAAACCCGGAGGCAAGTTGGCATGGGTTATTTGCAACCCTTCTTGCGTCCGTACAAAAGATAATGTGATCTTGATTCATGTGTTTCGGAGTACGCGTACAAGCTGCGTATGTCTTGCAAGCCCAATCACACATTTCGTGAGAGAGAGGGAAGTCGTTGAATATCGCAGAGAGAGCCTTCACACGAAGCGGATCGTGATGCGAGAGACGTAGCCTTGAAAGGAAAGGTGGCTCGAAGAGGAGACGATCTGTATTTAGAGAATTAATAGTCTGTTATACAGCTCTAAACACCGCTCAAAAAGATAATTTACTGCGTTCTAGGTAATAATAGTTGCGGGCTGCCGGAATAATTAAGAGGTTCGGCGCCTAGAATACGGGGAGGCTTCTGCCGGTCTGTTGGATCGAATTTGTGATGGTATACTGCTTTTTCGATGCTGAACAGCGTTGAGAAGAAGAAACTTTCAGTAGATGTGCGGACTGAATGCATTCTGTTTCGAGGAGTTCTATAGATACTCAATATGTCCGAGATGATTCAAGGCACCATTCTGGTAATGAGCAAGTTGCGAATTCCATTCTGTGATTCAAATCAGCCTTGCCTCGGCATAACCTTTTTCCGTCGCTCCGCCTCCCGCCATGTGAGGCAATCCTGTCCGTGACGGAGTTCAAGTTTCAAAAGAACAAAGGACTCCCCATCCTCTCCAATTCCTTTCTTCATTCGCCTTCCTCACACATCACGACCGCAAAAATGAAGTTGCACTACATTGGCGTATGCTGCTCAAATCCCTACATCCAGAGATAACAATGTACTGACCGCTATCAGATAATCAAGAACCAGGAGAAGCCCGCACACGAGCTATGCGCCGAGAAGGACTTGAGTGCATACTCACGATTCACACGTAACAAGTACGACTTTTGATTCCGAAAGCAGAGGAAGCGCAAGACTGACGCTGTGGAAATAGTTATGGGGAATTCATGACCCTGTTCAGCAAGACAGTTGCTGAGAGGACTCGACCCGGACAAAGGCAAGATGTCGAGGAACAAGGTCGGAGATACAATCTTTATACTTGATCCGCAATCTAATCTCATCGCAGATTATACATTCCACGCCTACGGCCGCACCGAAGGTGTCGCCGGTATCATAATCTCAGATCACGACTACCCCGCCCTCGTTGCTCACCAACTGCTGTCGAAAGTCGTCGACGAGTTCCTAGCCAAGCACCCTCGCTCATCATGGGCTACTTCAAGTCCTACGCTTAGTTTCCCTGAATTGAAGGATTATATTGTGAAATACCAGGATCCACAGCAAGCAGATAGTATCATGAAGATTCAGAAGGAGTTGGATGAGACGAAGATTGTGCTGCATAAGACGATTGAGAGTGTGCTGCAGAGAGGGGAGAAGATTGATGATTTGGTGGCGAAGAGTGACGGATTGAGCGCCCAGAGCAAGATGTTTTATAGTAAGTGCGGCAGTTCTGCTTGTGAAGCATGTTCGGATGCTAATGGATTGAATAGCACAGGCAAAGAAGCAGAATTCGTGCTGTGTTCTTATGTAGATTCGTTGGGTATCGGCGTTTTCATACTTTTGACACCTTTAGGGCATAGCAGTTTGTGTATTGAGATTGTAAATGGACTCGCAATATTACACCGATGGTTTCTTCACAATTCATACACTATCTCTCACACTATCTCTCAGGAATCGCTTTATGGGAAAGAGGGTCATGATATCCATTGGAAATAATCTGCCACAAAACTCCTGATGCTATCCCACCAACGCCATGTCCGAATGCTTTCGTTATCCATCATTCATGCCATCTCCCAAACTCTAAAACTCCGGGTATCTAAACTAACAGCACTTCCTTCTAGTCTTGACATGCCTATCCACAGCAGTTCCATTCGCCTCGGTCTCTTCGATATAGCTCTCGACTTGCACTCCAAACCAACTTCTCCTATCTCTGCCAACTCTAAAACTCCCACCCGGTCTCATATGATCAAAGTAACCGTCACCTCCATCCAAACCAGGCGTGGGGTTTGGTGTCTGAGCTGCACTCGCCAATCCATCCGTCAACTTCCTATTCTGCTCAACCAACTTTCTCGATATGACTCTGAAGACCTCTTCCACGCCTTCTCCATTCTCGGCAGAAACTTCGTGACAGCAATCCCATCCAACTTCTTGTCCCCAGAATCCACTACTTCTCTTAGAGCTTGGACTCCTCGCCCCATCCAAAGCATTATTACTATTTCTTCCACCTTGTCCTAGCCAGTTGCCTCCGTACATCCCACCTCCTCCCATTCCTTCCAAAATCCCTCCTGAGCTGCCTGGTGTTGCAGTTGCAGGTGGAGTACTGCTCATTCCTGGTGCCAGATTATCCGCGACGTATGCAATACAGCGCTCAAACGGAACTTGACGCAGCGAAGGATCTCTCGCAACGATATCTGATTTCGTGCCTACGACATGTAGTATAATGTCTGCAGGAAGATTGCGCCGAAGTTCTGCGAGCCACACGCCCATTTCTTCAAAGGAGGAGAGGTCTGTTATGCTGTAGCAAAGGATACAGGCATTTGCGCTTCTGTAATAAAGTCTTGATATCGATCTGCCATTCGTATTAGCAATTGCTGCTTAAGCACTCGGGAGACTTGCCTGAATCGTTCCTGCCCTGCTGTGTCCCATATTTGGAGCCTTACAGTGGTATCGGAATCTTCGTCTACCACCCTCTTCGTCAAGAAGCTTGCGCCGACTGTCGACGTCGTGCCTACTGGTGCGAATTCATTCTTTACATATCGGTGCACCAGTGAAGTTTTTCCCACACCCTGCGATCCCAATACCACGATCTTCGCCTCGAGACTTTGTGCCATCTTCGCAGCAGCCCGGTCGTCTAGTTGGTCGGCTTCGTTCCGGTAGATTTTAGGTGACAGTGACGATCGGTTGGTGCCACGTCAAAAAAGAATCTTTGACCGCTGGATTGGAGAGATTAGTCGAGGAGGAGGAAGGATTCGCGTGGCTGTGTATGGGTTGAGAATGGGCAAAGAAGTGCGATCCTCTTCTCAGCAAAAGCACACCTCGAGTGAGCTCACTACCTGCTTTTGCAATGTCTCATTCAAGCGCCTCATCATATGCACCTGGAGCAAGGTTTCAGCCGATTACTTCTCTTTCTTCAAAAATGGACGAAAACACGTTGAAAGTCGCATCGAAAGTGAGGGAACGGGCGAATGGAGAGGGGCATGTAAATAAACACCCGTGATATTATTGTTTGTTATTGGGAGCCGTGTTCAGCGGGATCAGGCTTGAGTGGAGATTTTAATCGAGATTGCAGATGACGATTATGGGTGCGCGACGCCCGGCTGACGCATCCTGCGAGGCTGTGGAAAATCAAAACTGGGTCTTATCACGTGAGAAACATGACTCTCCCCTTGTTTCGCTGGTGGAGGAATGTTGGAGATCTCCAAATCGGCTTGTGATCAACTGTTTTGAGTCAGTTGTCTGACATGTCTGTGACATTAGTGTGAAGCCACTCGATAGATTGGCTAGGGACGGCCTAAACAGCGAAATGGAGTAAGAAAACGGCAGAAGATGATGTGAGTCCAGGGGTACAATGTCTTGTGATTGTGGCTGGCATGGGTAATCAAGATCATTTATAATGTACGGCATCAATATATACAAATCCAGCAGAATCTGGTACTCCGTCTCATCTACAACTTTGCCTTCTCCTTCGGGCTGACCAATGGATCATACACAGACATACCCTGGAGCCATAGTTAGTAAGAGTGTGATAGAAGTGGAAGATACATACCAAAGTATCAGATGGTACACTGGTTGTGTGCATGTTCAGGCCTCTCGTGTCAACCAAAGTCGGATTCAGCTGATCGACGTTCGAGCATCCGATTAATCTCATATTCATCTCCATCTCATCCTTGAGAAGTTGCATAGCACGATCTACACCAGGTTGTCCGTACGCACTCATGGCATACAAGAATGGCCTGCCAATACCAACACCTTTGGCACCAAGGCAGAGTGCCTTGATAATGTCCGTAGCTCTTCTTACGCCTCCGTCAACGAATATCTCGATTCTGTTTTCCCATCCACGTTCTCGAAGGACGGGCATGACTTCGGCGAGGACCTCAATGCCAGATCGTGCAAAGTCGAGTTGTCGACCTCCGTGGTTGGAAAGAACAACACCTTGGACGCCGGACTCGATGGCTCTGATGACATCCTCAACTCTCTGGACGCCCTTCAAAATAATGGGCATCTTGGTGATGGATTGGAACCATGGGATATCCTTCCAGCTCAAACCAGGGTCGATAAACGTAGAAATAGCTCTGGCAGCACCTTGAGAATTGTCTGTTGTCGAACCAGCTTGAACGTTTGATCCGGTATCTGTGAACTTTGATCGCATGTCCTTCTCTCGACGGCCCAGTTGCGGAGCATCGACGGTGATAAATAAGCCCTTGCAACCACGCTTCTCAGCGTGTTGTACAATCTTCTTTGTGATTTCTCGGTCCTTGTTGACATAGAGTTGCATCCACTGGACCTGGTCACCTTCTGCTGCATCCATGATCTCGTCAAACGAGCAAGATGCAAGAGTGGGGATCATTTGCACGACATTATGCTTTTTTGCTGCTCGTGTGAGGACAACCTCTCCCTCAGGATTTCCAAGCTTTCCTAATGCCGTAGCTGTAACATAGAACGGGATATCGACTTTCGTGCCTAGCATGGTGGTTGTGAAATCAACCTTCTCAACATCAACCAGAATCCGAGGTCGGAACCAAATCTTGTGGAAGGCTGTGTGATTTTCTCTCATGGTCTAGATAGATCAGTAAGGACGGCTGAATTCTATGAAGAACTCACAATCTCATCATCAGCACCGCTTGAGTAGTATGCCCAAGCAGTTTTCTTCATGACACCCCTCGCCACTGCCTCGAAGTCCATCAAGTTGTAGCATTGTTCCAAAATTGGCATACGCTCTATCCTCTGCTGTCTCTCTATCTCTTCTGGCGACTCTTCCTTCTCCTCCTTCTCGACAGTCTTCATGTCAACCACTCCGAGATGTTTGGATTTGTCGAGGTACTTGTCCAATGTATCCGGAGGGTGTATGGGTTCCTTACCCGTCAATTACGCTTCAATGTGGTGTGGGTGTTGCAGACATACATATTCTTCGGTTGCATCTTTGCCCTATGAAGCTGTTAGCTGAGATGAACTTCCAGGGATGTTTGTCAGGTAGTATTGAGACTTACAGCATATTTGAGAATGATCTTGGGTCCGCCAGGATGTTCTATTGTATTACATTAGTTCATAGATCAGTCAATTGCTGCAGTAGTGGGGGTGGTTCACCTGGCAGAAATTCCGTCACATCGTAAGCTTTGCCCTGCGTCCAAATTAGACATCTGCCACCAGTAATCATTGGAAAAGCGTACATGAACAATTACCCAGCACGACTCTCGCGAGTTGTGCTTTGCGATCTCTTCCCCAGTGAGAGGCATGTTGTTGACCAGGTTTTTGGGAGCCGAGGTAAAGTCAAAATCGTGAAACTATCGAGAAAGAGAGAGGTGAGAGTGTAAGAATTGAGAGGGACGAGAAAAAGATGAGGCCCGAAGAAAAATCTAGGCGCAATAGACGATCAGATAAAACAATCAGTTTATTGAAATAGTCTCGGGAATATCGAATTGGTTTGTTTATGACGATTCGAATGCGAGGTCTAGGTGGGTCCATAGTCGGCAGTGGGTTCAGTTTTCTTTCGGGTGAAAGGGGCGCGACGATAATTTTCTTTTTTTGCTACACATCGTGTGCAATCTTTTTCTCAAACGATTACCGACATACAATAACACGTGGTTCTGAAACTATTGTGAATCGTACACCATCATTGACAGAGGAAGAGAGCAGAATTTGGATGACAGCCAGATACCTCCCTCATCCAGGCGAAGCACGTACCGGATTCGGCCGGGGTTGCGGGGATGCAATGGAGTGTGGGGAAAGCTCTTTGAGAGACCACCAATCAGAATAGCTTCATTGCAATTGAAGAAGCGGGTCTGTGTGGCGAAATAGACCTTCTAAGCTCGAGTGAGGAAATCCGCAATAATGCAAAAGCATTAGATGAGACCCAATGTTCCATTTCACCAAGGCGCCCTTGAATTGGGATAAGGACTTATACCAAAGTTGCCAAAGCCCGCCTCTGTCATGAACACTATCTTCCCAGGAAGTATGGCGCTAGTCTTGGAAATCGAATGAGTGGTAGTATTAAACTGCAATTCGCAGAGACAGTCAATTGATAACCACCTTATTTCCTTTCCCTTTCTTCCCAAGTGGCTTTACCCATACCTCTCATTCATGCAAATATAAGCAGCTTATCTTGCTTCCTGTCCGAGTTTCCAAGCTTCACCAAGCGTTGGAGTGATCGGTCTTGAGCATTACAGTGATCCTCTCAATTGGGTTGCAAATTTTACGGTCAGGGAAAGCCAACTTGACGGGGCCAAAACTGTCTGTTCTATAAGCCTCGATCTTGCCCACTGTCTTACTTTCACGGCACTCGAATAATACCCGCGTAGTCGTCTTGTCCCTCGACCAGCAACTTGATGTGCACTCTCCTAGCTGACGCCTCTCAAATTCCTGGTTTGCAATGCTCGTTTTGACTAAAAGTCGAACACTGCTATGATGGATTGCGGCCGGATTCGGCTTTTAATTTCTTATCAAGTGTTTGTACCTGGAATAATTTCCATCTTGCCATAAATTTTTGGACAATTTCCCACCATGGCTTTAGTGAATGTTCTGAGCGCTGGAGAGAAAAAAGACGAGAAACAAAATCTCCTGCTATGATAATACAACAAAACAAAGAATCATGCCCTCATACGGCATTGAAGTAAGTCGAGGATTTCCGAGAGACGATATTGTAAATTTGAACAGAATCTCGAGGTCTGAGACACTCGTTCCTCGGCCTGATATCAGGGAGCGACTTCGGACATTGAAACGACGTGCAACAAAACCACAATCTCACCACATTCCAGTCGACGCCTTAGGCTATTGTCGAAGATTCGGTAAGCTGAAGAATCAAGCTACGGGCCGATCTGTCCTGATCAATGAAATAGTCGTTTGTGAGAGCTCCGACTCGGAGTTGTCAGTTGTGATTAGAGCAATATCAAGATGATCTGTCCCGACCCCTGAAATAAAATAGTACCGTCAAGGACAGTACGCCGTACTGTAGATAGTTAGTGCTTCTGAAATGCCGGTCTCGGGTATTTTAACGATACGCTTGGAGAATTGATAGATTATCGACGATGTGGAGTGCAAATACGCTAAATTTAGCCCCACGCAAACGCGTCGATCGCGTCTCCCCGAATTTTGACCTGAACACCAGACCAGACTCAAATTCCCAAACCCTGACTACGAGACCACCCAACACATGTCTGACGACGGAAGAGTCGCGGCAACGCGGTACAACAATGGGAATCGTGCATTTCTGCAGTCTTTCCTAGCCCGTGGAACTTTGACATTCGCAGAAGCCAAGCCTATGCTAGCAGCCATTCTCTCAGTACAAGAAGGTTTGCTCCCTAGAAAATGTGCAAAAGATATAGCTAAAAGCCTCAGACAAGGAGGTCAATGAAGATCAGATTGTCCAAGCAGATCTCGACTCTTTCATCGAAGCAGCTGCGGAGGCTGTCTCTCCTTTCGATTATGAGATCAAGAGCACAAGGAACCAGGACACGAAGGAGCGAATATGGGCCTTGGTGAATAGTGTTAGCGATCCTCTCACACAATTAGCAACGACTCGAACCACAGAAGAGATCTATTATATCAAGCGATTCCTTGACGCCATGTTCGAGACCTATAACACAAAGCGAAGGGAGGTGATGGCTGTTTCCGATATGCAGGCTCTGGAGACGAAAATCCGCAAAGGTACTACGCGGCAGAGCAATGGCGAGGCAGGCGCACAATCTCAAGCTGCAGACAAGGGCCTCATGTCGGATCAGACAGAGAAGCTTCTTGCGCAACTTGAAAAGGAAAAGTGGCTCGCTCGGACAAGATCTGGATACTACATGCTCACACCGCGCGCGTTGATGGAACTACGAACCTGGCTAGTCCATACGTACAACGACGCAGATGAACCGGAAGAATGGCAGGCAATCAAGTTCTGTGAAGCATGCAAAGAGATTGTAACGATTGGGCAACGGTGTTCGAATCTGGATTGTAATACTAGGTTGCATAACATCTGCGAAGAGGCATATTGGAGAGCACGGCCAGGCAAAACTTGTGCAAAATGCGATACTGCATGGGATGGCAAGCACTTCGTTGGACCAAAAGCTGTCACGGCTACAGATGATCATCTAAGGGAGAAGCAAAGAAGTGGTGTTAGCAAGAGGAGAAGAGCAGATGTGGACGAAGACGATAATGGTGGTGAAGGTTCGAGTGGGAGAAGGCGAAGAACCCGAGTTGAGGAAGCACCTGAGGTGGAAGAGGAGAATGAGGAGGAGGGAGAAGCCGAGGAAGAGGAGGATGAAGAGCCTGGTCACAATGGTTCTGAGGTCGTGAATGGTGGCAGGAGGAGAAGAAGCAATCGAGTGGTTGAAGAGGAGGCAGACGAAAGTGGTTCAGACGAGTAAGATTCATCTGCTTTCGGGATTTCGAAAATGTGTGAGGATTTCTAGGTCTGAACTGGCGTTTGGGTGGTACTACAACGATTAGGGATGAATATGGTCCGCGTAGCTTGGTCAATGTGGTTGGGGATACCGGGTATTGGTCTTCCAGTACCCAATTCATAAGAGATAGAGTTGAGAATTGGTGCATTATTGACTTTGCTAAACTTCCACCAAAACGTTGTCCACAATCCGACTTTCTCGACCCAGTCCAGAGCCGGCTCTTGTCGGGGCGGTAATTGAGACCACATGCCATTCCCGTTCTTTTGTGTTACATGCAGCGGATTTCAGCCGACAGCAACAACCAATTATAGTTGAAAGCTGCAGAAGGTCAGCCCTGCAACAATTCAAACCAGTTGAAGTAAGGCTGGATCATGAAACAATGGGCGTTTTCTTAGGTGAGCTGAATAGCATATGACAATTATCCTTCGTGTCATTCATACTTGTATTGGATAATGGCTACTAGCGGCGGCCGGCTGCACCTCTGTATATAAACGCTCTCTTTCCCTTAGGTTTCTATCTTCCCTACTTAGAACTTCAACCTATATATTCTCTTAGGTTTCAAAGCTTCCACAACAGCGAGAACCTCAGCTTTAGAATCAGCCTTGAGATCGAATCACATCACCCCATCTTCCCTTCGACCTTTACTTTACACCTACAGCTAGCTTTAGGCACAATTATCATTTTATACTTCCCACCCTAACTTGACCAACGATGTCGCACTCTTTGGACCACACTGAAGCGGTAGCCGACCCGCTGTTCCTTAAGCCAGGAATGGTCCTCTATCACGGCAGCATGGCTGACCAGTTCGCCCATCAAGAGGCAGGCGGTCCCAGCCCAACCCACTATGTGCATCCCCCTACTCCCGATGGCCCAGCCTGGTTCGCCAACAACGAGAAATTCTCACTACACGCCGCGGTCCGCTTCACCAAGCCCCAAGAGAAGGCCACGATCACGCTTCACACCTACACGGTAAAGAGCGAAATCAACATGTTTTCGATGCCGAACATGGCAGCATTCAAGCACCTGTTAAAGGAACAGTTCAAAATCACGGCAAATTTCAACGGAATCATGGAGGGCCTCGCGCTAGCTAAGAATTCGCTCGAGTCCTTGCTCGAGGGGTATGCTCTAATGGAGGACACCGTGCGTGGAGAGCCTGAGTACGTGCTGTTCGAGTCCGGGATGAAAAGGCTGTACAATCACAAGACACAGACCGTGCTTGTCATACCGATCAATGCCAAACAAAGCAATTTGGTCGATGAGAAAACTCAGAAGCACATTGCTGTTTACACATACTTCCCCCCGCCGGGCAAGCTAGAGTAGATAGTCCAATTTGATTTTGTAAAGACTCTGAGAGGTGCGCCAGGTTGGAGCGGTGGATGAGACGAAGTGCGGGTGGTATGCGTCAAGTCATGAAGAACTACTATTCAACTGTCTTTACTACGAACAAATATCGTTTTGAATCCAAATATCACACAGTGAAATTGTGCATCATAACGCAACTTGTAGCATTACCCTCAGTGGCCTTGCACTTATGTACGGCTTAAGTGGTATGCAATGGAGTACCATCGAAATCGTATCATAGCTCCGTCAATGTCTTAGGATATATAAGACTTCGAAAAAACGTACATGAGTGTTCCAGAACTGTAAGTCATCTCCCCTCTTGCCCGTTTGGGCTTAGTCGATATGTCGATATTCGACGACAAGGATTCTCAAACCTCAAACTCTCCCATCTTTGTAACAGCTTCACTGTCCTCACTCATCGCCATTTTGAATTGTTTCGTCCATATCTCTATGGCATCATGTTCAAACAATTGATACCCGACTCTGGTCTTCCACAACCCCGGCGGCAGTACCGTCCCAAGATTTCCTTATCAATCACGTTGATCATTTTGCTGGTTCTTGGTCTTCAGTTTCTCGTTCTACCGCGCTATGTGTATAAAATATCACCAAGTCAGCAAAGCCTGAATAGTTTCCATCTCGTAAAGCTCGATGCTCGACTCGAACAATGTCGTGAGATTTTGACCCCACCTATCAAATACGGCGTGACCAGCGCTGGCTCACGTACCAACCCACGATGGAACCCCTCAACTGGTCAAAAGGAGACTACTGTTCTTCAGAATGCTACCTTGTTCGATGGAGAGCAGATTCTTACTGGCAAATTTGATATCACGTTCAAGAAAGGACTTATCGAATCTGTCGTAACTGCGGGATCGGCATCTATTGCTTCTGATGCGAAGGTCATGGATTTAGAGGGAGGTTTTGTGACTCCTGGGTTGGTAGATATGCACTCGCATCATCTAGCGTTTGCGTGGCCATTGTTGAGTTCTACGGATGACACGAATGAAGTCCATGATCGGACCGAGCCAATCACTTCTCAAGTCAGGATTATTGGTATGCAATTTTCCGAATGCTTCTCTTTTCCCTCTGTTCCGCATTCAGAGCCTAAGGTATGGCTGTTTTGAGATGCGATATGCTAAGCTTGATCAGATTCTTTGAAGGCGTACGACCCTGGAACAGCTATCATTGCCTCTGGTGGCGTGACTACGTCTCTCATCCTTCCCGGTTCTGCTAATATCATGGGAGGTGAAGCTGTTCTGGTAAAGAATATGCTAAATTCTGGAGAAGATTCTGAGATTGTCGTTGAAGACTTGCTACTTGAGCATGGAATCCCAAAGAGTGAGAGAAGGCGGTACATGAAGATGGCTTGTGGAGAGAATCCAAGAAGAGTCTACCATCATACCCGAATGGGAAATGCTTGGTGGTTTAGAAAGCATATGGAAAGAGCCAAAGAGCTGAAAGAACGGCAGGATGCTTTCTGTCTCGAAGCTGCTGCTGTGAGAAATAATGGAGATACGGCTGCAATGTCTGAGTTCATGCATCGACTTTCACAGGAAGAGAGTGCGACCGAAATGCTGGAGTACGACTCAACTATCGCGATGCTCCGTGGAAAGATGGGCATCAACGTTCATTGCTATGAACCTGAGGACTTTGAAGATATGCTCATGCACAGCAAGGAATTTGGCTTCCGAATCCAGGCATTTCATCATGCTCTTGAAGCTTGGCAGGTCCCGGAGATGATCAAAGCAAGTGGCGAGTGAGTAATTCAACGCATGCCTCTCATCCAAATCCTGACGTGCTTTAGGAACATCACTATTGCAACATTTGCCAGTTTCGCATTGTATAAGCAAGAGGCCTACAACGCTAACCTATATGCTGGAAAGATACTCGCTGATCATGGAGTACCTGTCGCATATAAATCTGTAGGTGTACTCTGTGATGGTAGCAAAATAAATCTGACATATGATAGGATCATGTCGAGACCGAGACAAATGCTAAATTCCTACTGTAAGTGGCTTCCAGTCACCTTGTGTCCGCATACTGATAGTTGATCACAGTTTCCAAGCCGCAACCGCACATTCTTTTGGATTAGCACAAGACCTGGCACTCCAATCAGTGACAAGTGTTCCTGCTGGGTCCATGGAGATTGACCATCGTGTTGGCTACGTTAAACCTGGTTATGATGCCGATATTGTTCTCTGTATGTTTCATTCTCTTACTAGTTTGCTTCATTTCCTATAAGAGCCCCGTGCCCGGACCTGGGAGCGTCTGAGACGTTTTTGCGGCGTCCAAAGTGCTCCCAGCTCTTGTACATCCCTCTCGATATCTCAACATTCACAGTGCTAACCAGATGACAGGGGATTCCCATCCACTCTCAGTTGGAGCTACGCCGTTGCAAGTTTTTATTGATGGCAGAGCCACCCTAGATCCTGAGATAGTTGAAAGCAGTCGCACAGCAGTTCAATCTTCAAACACAAGAAAAACCGCCACTCCGTCTATTCGTGCAAATCCATCAGATCAAAACAAGGACTCGCTTTGTACCGAAATAGGAAAATCGGCAGCCAAGATAACAATCCAAGGAATTACCAAGTCGTATTTGGATATTCCTTCTATCGAGGCGAATGGCGACAAAGGGTTGACAATGGTCATTGAAGGAGGCAGAATTTCTTGCTTTGACACTGAAGATCAATGCTTGAGTGTTAGTGCTAACAGCACGGTCATTCGCTTGAGAGACGCACATGTTTTACCTGGACTTACTGCTGTCAGCGTTTCTCTTGGTCTTGGAGAAATAGCGACGGATGACAGTACTGGAGACGGCGCGGCTAGTTCAGGTGGTCTTGACCTCGAGAGTACTATATACGCGAAGTATGGTGTACATCTAGACGGCAAATCATTTGCCAGAGCAAGGATTGGTGGAGTCACGAGGGCAATTACTGCCCCAAAGTCGCGAGGTTTTCAAGGGGGAGTCAGCGTGGCAATCAAAACGAGCGGCAAGAAGAACACATTGAATGGAGGTCTTGTCAAGGATGAAGTTGCTTTGCATTTCAAAGTCGGGTCAGCCTCTAAAAGTAAAAATTTCTTCATACCTGTTAGAAAAGACGGAGCTAATCAAGAGCAGGCGACAAATTGCCAACGATTTCTTCAGCAGTTGCCAAGCTCCGACAGTTCTTGGCTGAAAGTAAAGCAAAGGACGACATCTTCGGAAGAGCTGCCAACGGCTCTATTCCCCTTGTGGTGCATGTCGAGAACGAGGTATGAATGGTAATCATCTTGTCCTAGCAGCAACTGACTTGGGTAGTACGATATCATGTCACTCATAAAAATCAAACAAGAAAGGCCTGCTCTAGATTTGGTCATCATGGGCGGCGGTGGTGCTCATCTTGTAAGAACTTTTATCCACTTACTCGACCTTGTTGATTTGATCTTAGGTAGCGGATGAAATTGCGTCTGCGAACATTTCCGTCATTCTCACAGAAAATCGTGGAGCGCCAGATACATTCGAGAAGATCAACACCCTTCCAGGGCCGCCACTGAGCAAAATGGCTGCTGAAGTCCTCGCCAACGCAGGCGTGAAATTCGGCCTTGCTATTGAAGGCGAGAGTGAGTTCTCGTCTATGGCATCTATGCTCATATGCTTACCCTTTTATGATAGGCGATTCCCACATTCATAACCTTCCACTCGAAGCAGCGTGGGCTGCAAAATATGCTGGTTTGTCTAGTAACGATGCCATCAATCTTGTCTCCCGCAATATCGAGCAGATCCTAAGTTTGGATGTCAAGGAAGACAGTCGAGATTTCGTGATCTATGAGGGAAACCCGCTGGAATTCGGTGCAAGCGTCGTGCTCTCGATCGATGGGGATGACGGTATGGTGGCAACGTGCTGGCCAGAGGCGACTTAGATGTGCGGTGCAGTTGTCCACGTTCCTAAATTCACTCGCACGTGGGGATAAATTGAGATGCATCGTTTGTGATACCTCATGTCCATGTTGACCTGTCTGAAATCATTACGGCAATGCCGAACTGAGATGCACAAAAAGGATTTCCGCTAGGAATTTGTGAGAGATGTAGACTTGGTGCTCGGGACGCGGCTCTCCGGATTAGTCTCCTAGTAAATCTAGGCAATCCTCGACTCAGACCCTTGGACAGGACAATCGTACTGATATCATCGTTGATTCAGCTCTGGCCCAGAGCTATTCAGGTGTAGCAAGTGCAAAAACTGCTGTGAAGACAAAGTAAGCCGCGTTGACTAAGTTGCGGGGTAGTGCCATGTAGCACAAGTCCGAGAGTCAACGGCGTCGACCGAAGAGATACAAGTTTGGGCCCGAGATTTAACAATTCTGCAGCAGTTCGAAGGCAGCATCGACATCCGAAATGAATACCTTCTAATCTTGATAGTACGAAGCAATAGGGATGTTCCGCCAGCCCTTGTTCACAGATAAACTAGAAAACAACGACCTAATTAGGATGGGCTCCGAAGACAACACGTTCAATGCCACAAAAACCTTAATTTCAAGTAGTTTTTACAAAGGTAAAAGTGGGCTATCTGTGATGAGAGTCACGGACGAGCGTGAGCTTCCGTACAGATAAAACAAGGAGAAAATAAGCCAGGGTGTCCTCAAAAAGGGTAAAGCGTACGTGAGACGAAGAATTTTAGCAGGGTAAATTCGTGCCGTCGCTCCCGGAGCCCCTCCAAACTCCCTAATGAGAATTGGGTACCGTAGTTTTGGTGCGAGTACCACCAAAAAAAAGGTGCTCGATTCTCATGATGGACACTTCCAACTATGGCTCCGAGACACGATATTTCGGACGAACGATCCTTTATATATCAAAAGAGTAGGATCTCAATAACTTGAGTGATTCGCGAGCAGGATGTTCGAATTCAAGACGTACAAGATGGAATATCAGCATGTCCCTAATACTGCAATATCAAAAACATACTCTCCGAATAGCTTCAAAATGTTGCGTCGCTCTCGAACTCCGCGCCGATCTCCAACACCTCCACGTCGGCTTCCTCCGCTTGGAAGAATTGCGGCCCTGATGGCTAATCATTTTTGGAGGCCTGGAGACCCTACCGCAGAAGGAGTCCCTCCGAATCAAGCTCAAGTTGAAGAAGTGCCAAATTGTAGTATTTTTCGGAACGTACTTCACAACAACGAGAAAGCTGAGCTCCATCCTTGTGGGCATGGCTTCCACTGGGAGTGTTTAAAGGCATACTTTCTTACCCCGAATCGACGAGCTTATCCTTTCCAGGTTGTGAACGAGTCGTCTTATGAACTCCAATGCCCTGAATGTCGCGGAGGAGGAGAGCTCAGCTTTGTACGTCTTAGCTATAAACAAAAGCTCGATGATGTTTAGAGGTTTGCAACGACCATAAGATTGAGCGACTTGTTCTTCCCTCCTCTAATGGGTCGTTTAGCTTCTTTACCTAGAAGGAGAAGATTTGATCAGTCTGTCTGCAACCGGCAGTTGGGAATCATACCAATCCATCAGGTTATTACTCTCGAAGATGACAGCGACGACGACGACGACCCAGGTACACCTACTTCTCGAAATACCACTCCTCGATCAAGTCCTGATCCGTTCTCACCTACCCCGCCTCGATTCTCACTTACCCCACCTCGAGTTTTAACACCACAACTCGTCCCGACCAGAACTCCGGAAGCACTTCAATTTGCTGGAAACACTCAAGATATATATCTTCCACCTTCGCCAAGTGATGGAGTTGCTTTGCATACAAACCGCCCTCCAGTTATTCCATCCGTTTCGAGAACGCAGCATACTATATTGCCTATTGTTATCATTCCTCCTTCGATTCATAAACCTGCCATGGCACCAGGACTTCGTCAACCTACCCGGGCAACAACTCGCCTGAAAATCGAGCAAAAACCGTACCTCATTCGCTCCCTTGTCAACAACTGGCATCTTCGAGAAGTTATTACAATCGAAAAGGATTGGTACGCTTATTGTGTGGAAGACATGTACTTGAATGCAGGAGGCTGGATCGCAGGTGGGAAAGCTTCAGTTGCTAGGATGCTAGAAACTAGGAGAAGAGAACCTCGAGCTGAGGAGAATGCTACTGGCGAAGGGCAAGCTCCTTCGGATTTTGCTACTTTCTGTAATGAGTTGAGTGAGCTTATAGATGCTGAATCTGCGGATAGAGCTCGAACTTTGGAAATATCTACCCAGAGGACTGTTCGTCAAGCTGCTGACCGAGACATGATTGCCAATAATCGGGACCAGATTATGATGAATACAATATCTGCTACTCGGATAGATTATGCATGAGTCACGCTAGCCAAAAGTTACGAGAGCACCTTAAATTAAGATGTAAATAACACCATAAACAAATTAATAACTCAACAACTATTAATCGGCATGTCGAAAAAACACCGTCGCACGAAAGATATGACCCCAAAGGTCCCTAAAACCGACCGTTGTGAGACCCAGCTTCATGAGCGTGCTGCAATTGTGGGGAGAACCGGATTGACCACATCCGAGGAGGAGCATCGAAAGTATCCTCATATCACAACAACTGGTATCAGGAGAATGCGATTGAAAACTTAGAAGAGAGCTATAAAGTTAAAAAGTGGGAATACCCGTAGAAAAGTGCTTAAAAACATCACCAACATTGCTAATGCATCTCGATTTAGACCTAAAGTTAAGTTTATACTTGAACTACGGCGCCGTATTATTAATACTATTACAGCAAATCGAGTTTCACGCCAGAAAAAGATCAAAATGCTTATAAAAGAGATAGGCATTGATATATCCATTAACTCATTCCGCCAAGTTATATACAATGCCTATTATTCGTTTGCAAGGTGCAATTATAAGCTTGAATTTACCCGGGCCATTCGAGACTTTTGAATTATTACTACCCGAAAGCTCTTCGAGATGGATCTTGTTGAAAGAGGTGATGTAAAATGCAAGAAATTCAACAGGGTAACCGATGAGTGGGAGGAGTTACAGCAAGAGGTGGCGGATGGAGATGAGGAAGAGAGACGGACTGCGTCGCCGGAGGTGGAGGCGGAGGAGGGGGGAGACTGACACGGAGGAGGACGAGGAAGAAGAAGATGAGGGGGGTTGCAATACACTTTCTTCAATACATTCCCTATTACCTTACTACCCTACACTCCATACAAATACTCTTCAAGTATTAGAAGTTAGCAACCAAAGTAATCAGAGACTTGATTGCCCCTACGCAAGCAAACTAGCATATTCTCTAAGAAGACCGAGACCATATACTGGCTCCCAACCGCTGATGCTCCAACCCTCCGACGCTGAGTGTTTTGCCTCCATCTGTTAGTAATCCCACCAAACAACTGCTCAATTGTGATTCGTACTGACGACATAGTGAAGTTAAAGGCTTGTTCGAAAGGTTGCATATGACGGTCAAGTCGATTTACATATGCTCCTAGTACGCCAAAAGACCCAGTGTATGCAGGGTCTCCAAACATATAGGCACTGCTGCGGAACTTCGGAGCTGAAAATTTCAAACTGCAGCGAGACAGGCTTAAAAACTCCGAAATGCCCCTACAATTTAGTTGTTGATCTCTTTTCAAATTTACTGCTAGGGTGTGCGGAACATCCCTAATATCGGCGTTGACGTTATTGCGATATGGAAAAGTGGAAATCGGGGTGGAAGTGGGATGGATAAGAGTGATAAGTATAAGAGTGTTATCGATATCAGCGGGTACCTGAATGTCCGGGGCCGCTCAGTACAGTAAACCGCTTTCGTCTTTATGCGTTTATCAGATGCTACTCGTCTCTCCCTCGGCCCCGTATCAGTCTCTTTCCAATCAAACCTCACAACCAATACAACATCAAATCGGACACCGCACCGGAGGATTGGACAAATGCCGAATAAAGCAATCTGCATACCCAGGGCTGCATTTGCCAACCATCCACCCGTCGCAAGCGTGGCAGGGATCGCCTGGGGCAGGTGGATGCAAATTGGATGCAACTCTGCGAGATTGACCAGGGCGGTGGGACGGATGATTGGTTTCTCTGAGCAATGATCGCCGCAAACCCCTCAATTACCAAACCTTTCAATAACAGATCAGGCATGACCATATCACGACCTTGTTCCATCCTATCTTAACTGCATCGGGCGACAGACTCGCAATAGGTAGGATGCCGTGCACCGCAAGGTAACAGACCGGTACGGATGGTCAAGAGATCGATAAGCCAGTCTGCAATCCGGTCCCAGGTAAACTCAGTCGGTCCCACGTTGTGTGTGGCAGCTGTTAAACAAGGAAAGAGGCGCCCAGCTAGGTTCTGTGGACAAGTGTATAATTACTTGTGCACCTGCCCTTGATGTGTTCTTTCTCTTCCTGTTCTTGCAACATCAACCACATGGTCTGTTCGTATTCATAATGTCTACTTTCCAGAGTTCGCAGTACCAACCTCTTCCCGAGGGAGAAAAGGTCGAGGATGATCACCATCAACCGCAGCAAGTCCCAGTTAAGAAACAATCGAACAAGACGTCCGTTGCGCTTGTTGTCTGTTTGATCATCTTTGCAGCGCTCTTTGCATTTCTAGGAACAGCAAATACTGTAGCGCATTCACCCCAGGAACACATCACCGAGGAAGCGCTTGAGGATGATCCCACGAGGTATTTTATGGAAGCGACGAGAGCGACAAATCAGGAGTATCTACTTGGCGTGGGAAAAGCCGATATTACCGGGTTAGTATTCTCAGATCTGTTCTTGGAAAGCTACTGAAACGAATCTGCTAGACCCGTGGTCGAGCTTAATTTCATGGGATATGCATCTCTAGCACAAATTGGAACTGGTCTTCGACAACGGTGAGCACGTGTCCCTATTTTGACTTTGACAAGGTCTGACGGACATAGTATTTACTCACGTGCTTTCATCGTTGGCGATGTGAACAACCCTGACAATCGTTTTGTCTATCTGGTCCTCGATACTGCTTGTGGAGACACTGCCATTCGTTATGGTATCCTCGAAGCATTAGCAAACCTTGGATCCGATTACTCCATGTATGGACAAAGCAACGTTGCTGTTACTGGTACTCATGCTCATTCTGGACCCGGAGCTTGGCTCAACTATTTGCTTCCTCAAATTACTAGCTTGGGATTCGATAAGCAAAGTTACCAGGCTATTGTTGATGGGTATGCTCCTCGGTTCATTTTTGGTTCTTGACTAACAACATTCAGTGTTGTCCTCTCCATTCAAAGAGCTCACGAAAGTCTTGAACCTGGATACTTGAGTTATGCTGACACAAACATCACGGATGCAAATATTAACCGTAGTTTGTGGGCCTATCTTGCCAATCCTGCTGAAGAGAGGGCTCAATATGATACTACCACGGATACTACATTGACCATGCTTCGATTTCAACGTGCTTCAGATGGTTTGAACACCGGAGTTTTGTGTTGGCACAGGTAAGCTCACTTATAATTGTTCAAGCTCCGACGATCTGGGAAGGTGCCAAGAGTAAGAGCTAATTTGATCAGTGTTCACGGGACATCTATGCTGGAGAACAATACCCACGTTACCGGAGGTAAGTTTCCTCGACGCTGCCAATCTCTGTACTGATTCGTGTCACAGACAATAAAGGACTTAGCAGTTATCTATTCGAGCAAGCAGCGAAGGATGATTCCACTGCAGCATCAGGTTTCGTGGCTGCGTTCAGTCAAAGCAGCGTTGGCGATACCTCACCGAATGTTCTTGGAGCATGGTGTGATGATGGGTCTGGAGAGATGTGTACTTTGGAGCATAGCACCTGCAATGGAACCAGTGAAGCTTGCCATGGAAGAGGTCAGTTGTTTATTATGACCCGAAACTTGAACAGGATGACTGACGTATGGAAGGTCCTGAATTCCAAAAGGTTGATCTCGGTGTTTCTAGCTGTTATGAAATTGGCAGGAGAGTTTATGCTGGTGCAAAATCACTCTATGTGAGTAACATCTATGCAATTTGAAGAATGTTCTGGAGCTGACAGACTTCCAGGACTCTTTTGATAGTGTGGCAACAGCTGTCTCGGATTCTAGCGTAAAGTTCTACCATGTGAGTACTATTACTCCATCTCATAGGCCCATCTGATGAATACAGACCTTCCAGGATATGCGTTATTTCAGTTTCCCTCTTCCCAATGGAACCGTGGTCCAAACTTGCCCAGCAGCACTTGGGTACTCTTTTGCAGGAGGAACCACTGACGGACCTGGCGCTTTTGATTTCGTTCAAGGAGATAACAATAGCAATGCGCAGAACCCGTTCTGGGAAGTCGTTTCCGATCTCCTCACAACTCCTAGCGCTGCTCAAGTTGCTTGCCAAAGTCCTAAGCCTGTTCTTCTCGACGTAGGTGAGATGAGCGTGCCTTACGCTTGGTCACCTAATATCGTTGATATTCAATCTTTCCGCGTCGGTCAAATGATCATCATCGTTACTCCTTCAGAGGCCACCACCATGACAGGACGTCGCTGGAAAGCCGCTGTAGCTGCTGCTGCTACCAACAACTCAATCGTCACTTCGACACCGAAAGTCGTTCTTGGTGGTCCAGCAAACACCTACGCACACTATGCTGCTACTCCAGAGGAATATGGTGTTCAAAGATATGAAGGCGCTAGCACGCTCTACGGACCCTGGGAATCTTGGGCGTATATACATCTTTCAGAGTCCATGATTGGGTATTTGGCAGCAGGAAATTCTAGTACAGCTCCAGCTGGCCCTTCGCCACCCGATAATGTCAATAACTCCCTGAGTTTTATCGCAGGCGTAGTCTACGACGGTGCCCCGATTGGCAAGAGCTTTGGAGATGTACTTGAACAACCTAACGCCGCCTATTCCATCGGCGACGTCGTGAATGCCTCGTTTGTCGGTGCCAATCCTCGTAACAATCTCAGCCTTGAAGGTACTTTTACAGAAGTCCAGATGTATGAGAACGACGTTTGGACAACTGTGAGGGATGACAGTGATTGGTTTCTAGAGTATACTTGGTACAGGGATGACAGCTTGTTGGGCACAAGTCATGTTGTTATCAGTTGGGAGACAGAGAGTTATGCTACTGCAGGGACCTATAGGATTGTTTATCATGGGGACTGGAAGGAAGCATTGCTTGGGACTATCACGGCGTTTAACGGGACCAGTAGTAGTTTTACGCTTTCTTGATAGCGAAAGAATGCACTTGGCAAAAATGGAATCAATCTTAATGGTATTGGTAGCTGCAGGCTGTCATTTATTAATTTGTAAGTGCTTGTGATTTCGTGCTTCATCAGCAGTAAGGAAAAGACCATTGGCGAATGAGCTTCCTTTCCCCTTGCTGACGAATATCCGGGGTATTCCCCGCCAGACGTGCCAAACGCGTGATTAGTGGACTACCCCTCATGCGTCATCATCTTACCAACGACGAGCTTTGGAATCATATGAAGTTGTTTCTCTATAAGATCCCTTCTTCGACCTCTCTCAAAACCTTCAATCACCATCAATTGAAGAGAAGCATAGCAACCATGACGCAAGGAAAAGCCACCGCTACCGTCCAGGGCAGACAAATTGCATCGACAGATGAGTACGAAGTTGTTGAAGGAAATATCTATGTACAAGTTCCCCTGTTCGTCCAAATCATTCAGACTGACTAACAAATGAACAGTTCCCACCTTCGTACGCTTCCCTTGAACGTAATGAGGCTTCAAGTCAAAAGCTGACTCAATTGGATTCCATAGTTCCGTCAATATGGCGATGCTGACCAAGACGGATTATACGACTAAATGTCCCTGGAAAGGAGATGCTTCGTATTATAGCATCAATCTTGATAGTGAGATGTTCTGTTTGAGTGGAGAATGTTGAAAGAGAGTTAGGTGATGGGTACTGACATGAGAAATGACAGAGACGGAGCTGAAGAATTCTGCTTGGTATTATCCTGCGCCTAGTGACAAGGCAAAGAACATCAAGGACTATGTTGCATTCTGTAAGTGTTGTTGCCCTAGCCATATGGTGATGGTGGGTTAATGGTGCTTAGACAAGAACATTGTCGATGTGAAGACGGAGTAAGGATGGGCGTACATTAAAATGTAGCTCGATGAGAGATATGAATTAGCTATGAGCACAGAGAATGATGACCGTTAGTCTGTGATTTTGTGGGCTCAAGTATTTTCAATATTCATTATGGACAAGCTATCCCATCAGACTCTCATAGTTCCACAATTTCAACGGGATTGCCAGGATCAGTCGTAGACTGCCATACAATAGCAGCATTGACCAGCAACCCTCCATTACCACCTCGTGGGCCAACCATAAGCCTCTGCCATAGAACCCCTTTCACGCCGAACCATAGAACTTTCAGGGAGTCCCACCAAGCCATACTTGGGAAGATATCCTTGATGAGCCCACCTTTCGACCTGCCCATAAGTCTCTCATACGCAGCCTGTCCTTGATCCCAAAACACAGGTTCTCGACCATGTCCCGAGTGTATATGTCCAAAAACATGCAGCCGTGGCTTCACAAGCCAGATCTCCTCCAAAAGCCCCGCACAGCCAAGATTCAGGTCAAGATGGTAGCGTGGAGGAGTATGTGTAATGAGGACATCGGTTTCCAGAGGAATTCGGTTCTCCCATGGAGCTGACTCGCGCTCATACTGAAATCTAGCGGAGATTAGCTTTGATGTCCAAATGTCCCCATACGACACTCACGCAAAATCGCTCCCTCCACATTTTGGTATATCAGGCGCGCCAAAGAAATTGAGCTTCCTTCCACCCTTAAACTTCAGCGTAATAGCCTTATGCTCGAGATAGTGGATGTTCCTGAAATTTAACTTCTTGCCTTTATCCTCCTCCCTCCTAGACTTCGGATCAAAGTAACTGTCGTGGTTCCCCGCAATCACAATCTTCTCCTTGTGAGGCAGAGAAGCCATCCAGTCCAATTGTGATTGTATATCCTTCACGGTTCCCGCGTTTGTCAAATCTCCAGCATGAATCAGGACATCGCCGTTAGGGACTGGAATCGTGTTCGTGTGGGTGTCTGAGATGCAGATTATTTTCACAGGAATCTTGTGTTGAGGTGGTTTGAAAGGCGCGCCGCGGAGGAAAAGGAAGACCGAGTAGATTATGCTGATTAGTGCTCGAAGAGGAGATTCGAGAAATCTGTCAAGAGGAGTGGGAGGGTCGAACATATTTGCTCGTCGCGACCAAGGCCATTGCGAATTGCGCTTCGCCATGTTTGCGATGGAGGTCGTCGTAATCGAAGAGAATCAAGAGAGTTTTGTCGTTGTGTCAATCAAATAACAATAGCAGAGTTGTGACCTACATTGGATGCCTCGATTGGATGAATGGTTTCCTCTGGTGAGGCCACGTTGAAGACTTTCACGACGATGAATGTACTGTATCGTGTCGTGACTTGAATGCGACGGAGTTGGTCCTCGGCGGGGCAAGATCTCTAACAGGGATGAGCTCCTGGAACAATCCCCTAAGCGACGTCATGGCACAAGACGGCTGGCTGGACTGAGACCAAGATAGCTGGCCATGCAGCTAAAAGTCGTACAGGAGAATGCCAACTTCCCAGAAGATTTCTTCGTCTTCTCCTCCAAAAGATTCACATTTTGAGACTGTCTCAGTGTATTGGGAAGGCACAATGGCATCTCTCAAGACTCTCTATGAGCCGAATCCAGACTTGGGCAGTGCTTTGCATACCAATTTCGAGTACGTTCAATCTGTACCCCACCATGTTTTTGTATTGACTTGCGCAGCGTCGACTATGTCTTAGACTACCGATTTGCAACGACGAGTAAGTTCAGAGTCTAGTCTCGTCTCTCATTCAATACTGACGTTTCGCAGGCAAAGCAGAAGCAGAAGAAGGTTTCGTGAAGCTTGTCCAAGTACTCAACGACGTTGGCCTGTCGACCGAAGTTCGAAATGGAGACAACTGTGCGGTCCTGATATTCATAAAGATCGCCTCTGAAAGGCATCTGCGAGCTGAGGTATACCGATCGAGAGTGCAAGACTGGCTATATGGCGTACGAACAGCAGCCCCTGAGAAGGAGATGCAGACCAACCTCAACCAAGAGCCAATCACCGAAGCAGAACGATTACGACTCACATATCTTCTGATAACAAAGCCTAGAAATGAGGGAGGTGCTGGAATCACACCCAAGAGTGGAGATTGGAAGTGTGTGGAGTCTATATTCGCTCTGCATGATCATACATTCAACAAGAAATGGATCAAGGAGTTGACAGGAAAGACTTTTCTTGGCGTCAAGGACCTGGAAGAGATCAAGGACAAGTTTGGAGAGAAGATTGCTTTTTACTTTGCATTCTTGCAATCCTACTTCATGTTCTTGATCTTCCCAGCTGGATTTGGCTTCTGCGCCTGGGTTCTCTTTGGAAAGTTCTCACCTATTTACGCTATTATCAACGCCCTGTGGTGTGTATTCTTTGTCGAGTACTGGAAGAAGCAAGAAACGGATCTGGCTGTTCAATGGGGTGTCCGAGGTGTTTCTAAGATTCAACTCAAGCGACCAGCTTTCAAGCATGAGGGTATTATCAAAGATCCTATCACGGGCGAGGACATCAAAGTTTATTCACCGCTGAAGAGACTATCGAGGCAATTGCTACAAGTTCCATTCGCCCTCGTTTCTACACTCGCTCTTGGGAGTTTGATCGCTGGATGCTTTGCTATCGAGATATTCCTCTCAGAAGTTTATGATGGACCTTTCAAGTCTTACTTGGTAAGTGGTTCGGAACGATAATAACATTAGCTAACATATTCAGGTCTTTACTCCAACAGTGATTCTCACTGTAGTGATGCCGACTTTGTCAGCACTACTAACAGGTTTCGCAACAAGACTAACAGACATTGAGAACTATGAAACTGAAGACGGTAAGCTTCCGTGCTCTACCAAAAACGTCAGGTCTAACATTCGACAGCACACGAAGCTGCTATGGTCTCAAAGATCTTCGTTCTCAACTTCATCACTTCATACCTCCCTATTTTTCTTACGGCGTTTGTCTATGTTCCGTTCGCTCAAATCCTGGTTCCTCATCTCGACATTTTCCAAATTGCTGTGAAGCCTTTCGTTGAAGACGAGAAGCAGATGACAGCTCCTAAAGTGGGATTCCAGATCAATCCAGATCGATTGAAGAAACAAGTCATCTACTTTACCGTCACGGCACAAATTGTCAATTTTGCCTTGGAAGTAATTGTCCCATATGTCAAGCGCAAGGTGTTTAAGAAAGTGAAGGAGGTCCAGGCCGACCGAGCAGCCAAGCGAGGAGGTGCCTCCGGTCCAACTGAAGACGACCACCCTGAAGAAGCTGCCTTCTTGGTCCGAGTTCGAAATGAAGCAGAGCTGGGCATTTATGATGTCACTACAGATTTTCGGGAGATGGTTGTCCAATTCGGTAAGTCCTCGGATATGCTATGTTCTCAAGTGCTGACCGGCGATAGGATACTTATCACTCTTTTCTGTGGTTTGGCCATTGACTGCTGTTTCATTCTTTATTAATAACTGGATCGAACTGCGGGGAGATGCCGTGAAAATTGCGTTGGAGACGCAAAGACCTGTTCCTTGGAGAGCAGATTCAATTGGCCCTTGGTTAGATGCTTTAGGTTTTCTGGCTTGGCTTGGAAGTTTGACTTCATCTGCTCTTGTATATCTTTTCACTGGCGATGGTCTTGGACCTGACGGAGCACCATGGAACATCAAGGCTTGGGGCCTTCTACTAACAATCTTCTTTTCTGAGCATATCTACCTTGGAGTACAGCTGGCTGTTAGGAAGGCACTGTCTAAGATTGATAGCCCTGGATTACAGAAAGAGAGATCAGAGAGGTTTCTCGTGAGGAAGTAAGTTTTCTTAGTTCTGTTCAATATCGTATGCTTACTGCGTCAGGCAATATCTGTCCGAGGCTTTGGGACCGGAAGCAGCCGAGAAGGCAGCGATAGGAGGTATTGAGGCTGGTGAAAAGATTAGTCGAAGCACACTCGAAGACGAGGCCAGAGAATCAACATTGAAAGGCCACGGCACCCCTGAAGAGAGATTTTGGCAGCGCCAACAAGGTCAAGCGGAGACTATCGCGATTGGCAGAAGCTATATTGCGAAGGTAATTACCGAATCATCGCGAGAACAACCTTTTGTTAACTCTTGCAGGCTGCACCAAACGAAACGAAGGAAACCAAGAAGGAACTTTAGGTTCTACTTGCGATGAAATGACGAATATAGACATCTTCGGACTGGAATCATGGAATGGAGCTTGGAGGAGGTTCGGATAACATGTGATAGGTGTATAGCGAGCATTCTTATTTATCAAATTACAGCGTTCCATTCAATCTTTACGCTTCCACTTTTGGATGTGAAAGTTCGGTGCAATTTGCTATCCATTGCCCTTTTCAAGGAAAGGGGCTTACTGGCTCGGTTGTTCTACGTGGATCTCGGTTGCTAGCCTTTCTTCATCAGCAATCCATAGCGAGATGAATGTCTTGCAGCAAATGATGTACTTGTAACGATTCTGTTGCAGTATCTCAGCAGCTTTCTCAATCTCAGTTCTTTTCGAGATGTCCTGGGTTCAATGAGCATGTATATAATTTGGCGGATCACTGGTCGTTCTTTCCATGCGAGGCTTGCACCTATCATGGTGCTACTTTCTGGGCTAGGAAAGTAAGATGCCGCGTTCGGCTGCACAACTTCAAAGCTGTGAGCGCTTAAAATGCCTTGGCATATTAGTCACTTGTTGGAGACAAGGCTGCCACGGTCTCTACAAGGCCAAGTCAAGGCGCTTAATTTAGGCATAGCTGAGAAGGAAGAGTAGGAAGCGGCACTGCGTCTACGATGTTGAGACCAGCTTTCGTAGCCTTGCGGGGGTTGACAGGCATACAGCTTCGGTGTCACGATTTTTTAATCTGCCTGTGCAGCGAGAACAATCGGGCAGATGAACACGATATATCCAGTTAAAGTGTTTTGTTGACTTTAAGTAGACGTCATTCTAAACTGCGATGCGACCACTGTGAAAAGTCATTCCTATGTTGGTATTTCGGTGACCACGAGCATATCTACGGTCGGTATTGTGAGGGCAAGTGTAGGCCTCCTCTTGGGGCTTTGCATTCCCTGAGGAAGTTGGGAAAATCCATTCTGATGGTATAAATATGTTCTCTAGCTATGGTATTCTTGATCTGTTCCGAACCCAAACGACCGAAGTATCAGTACCGTGTCTCAAAGTTCTTGAGCTGCTCTTTCCTGTTTAAGCTTATTTTTTCTGGCGACTTCTTTACTCGACCATACTCCCTCTTACAACACACCTCCAAATAGTCTGCCAACATCCTGCGCTTAACAATTACCAAGATGCATTTCTCAGCTTCGCTCTTCACGGCTGCCTCTCTGTTAGCCAACACCGTTGCCTGCCTCCCTGGTGTTCTCCCACGAGGCAGTTCAGACACCACATCCAGCTCAAGCCCTACACCGAGCAATCTGGCTCTATTCCAACAACTTGTTCTCGTCCCATCTTCTGTAGACCGTTTCAACATCCTCACAGATGCCGACCTTCTCTTCTCGTTCAACGACTCCTCCGCTCATCCAATCGGCTCTCCAGGTGTCAGCACTGGTCAAGGAGGACAGTTAGTCCGTGCAGACCAATCTACCTTCCCCGCATTATACATGCAACATGGAGCCATGGCCCTCGGATTCATTGGCCCTTGTGGCTTCAATACGCCTCACGTCCATCCCCGTGCCAATGAGCTATTCCTCGTCTTTGAAGGTCGCTTGAACACAAGCACCATGCTGGAGAATGGTGGACGACAAATCCATAACATGGTCAACACTCTGCAAATGACCATCTTCCCTCAAGGAAGTGTGCATATGCAGTTCAATCCTGATTGTACTCCGGCGATGTTCGTTGCTAGCTTTACGGGGAGCGACCCTGGTCTTGCTCAGATTGCACAGGAATTCTTTGGTTTCTCGGAAGAGGAGGTTAACGCTGCTGTGGGTGGACCGGTGATGGTTGATGGTGCGGATGTAGATGGATTTAGGAGTAAGATTCCTCCTAATGTTGCGCAAGGTGTGGAGAGTTGCTTGACGAAGTGTGGGATCAAGAAGAAGTGAAGAGGCCATTGATGTTATTTTTTTGGTGGATGAATAGTGTTCTTCATTCCGTATGGGTGCTGTATGGTATCGATATCTGGGTGAGAGAAATGGGATGGAGTCCTAGACCTGTTAAGTTCAGCTACAGCTGTCCTAAGCCAATGCAGAGTTTTACAATTGCAATGAATGAACAATGAAGATGGTCGCTCTCAAAGATTGTTTGCAACTCAACATGTGTTCATTGAAGAGCATGCTGTCTACCCAGCAAAAGCATTCTCTCTATAAACTCGAAGACAAACCCATTCAGAGGCCAAGAAGCTCAAGAGATTGCCCTGCTATAACTGTGCATACTTCCAAAGGGCAGGGAAAATGCCGGTTTCCAAGACCACTTGAAGGACCGAGGACGTATAGAGCAATTGTCAACAAACAATGCTTGTTGCCAGCAGCGCTATCTGTGGGCCACATTGTCCACTGTGACAGGACTTCGACTCCTTTGACGAGCCACCGTGGCGTGCTGCTCTCTTGGATGCTTACAATCTCCGTAGACTCATGAAGGTAAAGAGTCTTGGTATGGTATTGAGTGATTCGTGATGTGGGATATTGTAAGCTTGGCTGAGTCTACCTCTTTTCAGTAACGTTGCAAGTTGAAGAAGTAATAGTACCCCCCCTCGAGAGAGAATTGAATAGTAAGTTGCGGAGGACAGATGTATGGAGCCCGGTAAAGCTCCACCTCGACGAAGATAGCCTCCACGAAGTGATTGTTGAAGTGTTGTTGTGAATCAAAACAGAGTAATACCAAAACAAACATATCGCTATCGCTCTCTGCTGCTATTATATCCCCGTCAATTGAAATGAGAGAGGAGAGACTAATGAAAAAAGTCGAACAAAACATTGACGCGTAAACGCTTCGGTTGTACCATGACGATCAGATCGAAAAGCATGTTCTTCTATTCTGTGTTCAATGTCAAATGAGAAGCCTATCTCTTCAAAGCTTTTTAGCTTCTCAATGATGCCGATCTTGCTCTCGACTTCAGTTTCGATGGATTCGCTCAATCGTTCTTGTTTACTTTGCATTGATAGCACTCCTAACAATGGCAACAGCAGCACATCCTTCACCTTAACAAGATGTGTAGCATCTTATCAGATTCAACGACTTCGGACATGCTAACTTCTGCCTTCATTCTCTAACCTACATTTTCCCAAAAACCACAAGTGCGATATCCTCACAGAAAGAGTCGCCAGGAATCAAGACTTACGTTCTTTCTGTTGATTGAATATGTGGCGACAAAAACCGATTCTGCGAGGTGATTACATAAAGGGTATGTTAAATGATTAACGTATAATTATTTTTAATTTTTTTAATTTTTTAATTTTTAAATTATTGGTGATTGTTGGTAATCATGTGAGAATCGCGTGCAACGCTGCGTTATATTCCATTTGAGATGTATAAAAGAAGACTCTACGTCCTTTTCGTGAAAGATTAGTCAAGAGGACGAGACAACCCATCAGTCCGGCTCATATAGCTATAACATGTGTAGATGAGAACACATGTTTTGTGAAAACAATATTTCCTTGCAGAGACTTGTAGCAACTCGAAACCCATGACACTAATCCTCATTGGGAGATATGCGTATAGGCGTGGCATTCAACGGAGTCTCGCTCGCTGCTAGCACTCTTCGCAAGCTCTTGGGCGAGTAAAAATCGCAACTTCCGCTCCTCGAGCTTGACTTTTCTACAACCACACCACATTCTGCAACAGACGACCACGACCTGCAATCTTGTCGCAGCACCTAGACTCTATCTTCCATTACACTCATTCTCAAGATGTCAAACAACAGCCACGTCACCACGCTTGACGAAGCAAACCCGATACCAACGCACCAAGAGTTGCGATCATTGGTCCAATTCCAGATCTTGCGCTTTTTAACAAGGATGGGACATCATGTACAAGCTATTGGGACTATACCAATCCAGAGTTTGCATTGTAAATGATATATATGCATTCGTGGATGTTCAAGACTTGCGACTAACTCTTCTGCGCAATAGTTTGATTGACAGCGTCAAGGAAAAGCTTCCTCTAGAATTGCGACAAAATATCTGTACGTCGTAGTCACTTTTGCTTTTTAAGAATGATAATTCAAGCCCCGAATATCCTGAAGAGTTTACTGCGGCTTCTTGGTGGCTGCGGAAAACACATACTGATTGGTCAATAGACGGTTATCTCACATTCCCCTGGAATCCACTCCAACCCTATGCTGTCACCACCCCAACAGGATAACTGGTTGCCCTTGCTCGTCGAAATCCTACACCTGCATACACCGACAAAGAGATAGTGAAGGAGATGTTTGAAGATCTACCAGACCTAAATGATGATGATGGAGCAGAAATTCACGCCACTTATACACCTCTGATGTGGTGTGTCTCGGCTTTGAATGGAACTCCAAAACTTGATTGTTTAGCCAGCGTATCAGGGTTGTTTGCCAACAAATGTGGAGAGATTGACTATTATAAAGTCAGCGAATATCACAATCTCGTTGAGTTTACCAAGGCTCTTGAAGTAATCAGCAATCGTGGCAAGAAGGCAGGTACATCTGGGGGCCTTGATATCTTGCGCGAATACGTCGACTGGTTCTGGGAAAATCATGTCGTGGATTTCAAATCCAGCTGGAGCCAGGAAGCAAGATCAAATTCTTATGCAGAACGTATGAGAGAGAAGACATCTTTGACATGGTTGCAACTACGACCAAAATACCATGAAACCTGTCGCTGGATCTTACAACCTACGACTTTCTTGAACAAATGTCACTCGATACGCCAATCAGAGCTATGTCATTCAGTTACAACATGCCCATTACTACATACCACATTCGTGCATACCTGAAGCCCTTCATCGCTCTCCGAAAGGCATGCATATACATCTCGAAGCATCTGGTCAACTTGAGGTCACTGATCCTCTTCATTACCCTTTTGGACAGAGATCTCGGAAAAGTGCTGAACAACCCGAAAGCCAACTGGATCCAGTCTTTAAGATTACTGCGTCCACAGAATAAGTTCGAGATCCGCTGCAGTCTCCACGAGTCGAAATCCCCAGACCATTCGCCACGTACGGAAGAGCCAAAGGAAAGCCCGAACCACGCAGACGCTGAGAAATGTCTTGAGATGCTTCTCAAGCCGGAGGGATTGTTCGAGCGAGATCAGACAGAGTTGGCTAAGAGTGATGTCCGGGGGTTTATTGAGGTAATGGATTGCGAGATGCAGGCAGGCTTAGGCTGGATGGAGATGGAGAGTGCAGAAGGAGTCGTAGAGTATAGCACTGGGGCTTTCTTACTTGTCGATGACAGCGTTGCTGTGTGAGCCAACGTTCATATGCTCGCCAGATAGCCTCAGTACGCTGCACTTCACAACTAATTGTAGAACAAAATGAAGAGTAATGTATCCATACACGAGCGTAGCATTTGTAATTTGGTTGTCGTATCAGTAAAGCCTTGCATAATCCTTTGCAATCAAACAACGTGCAAAGAAGAGCTGATCCCCTCTTCCCTCTATTCTCTTCATTATTCCTTTCCATCATTCCACCTCACGTAGTCTGACAGGTTTGAGGAGTTTTTTTCACCAGCCACCGTCCCAATTCAGCCTTAATGCCAGGCATATGTGGACGGAAGGTGGAATGGATAGTTAGACAGACTCCCTCAAATGGGTGGGAGCAGGCTCTCTAGACATCTCCTCCTACATCTGAGAGAGCTGTACATGCCAATATAAGACCTTGAATACACACACCCTCGCTCTGAGATGAAACGTGACATCACATAATTCGCAATGAAGATGTATCAAACAAAGAAATAGTAAAAGTCAGCTGTTGGCACGAAGCTACTTCAATAGAAGTGCGTTGTTACCTATCATCCCCAAGAGCGATGTTAGGAAGCTTGAACCCTAGTGATAAAGCCAAATTGAAATCTTCATTCAAGGATCCTGTCTTTAACCACCACTCCATAGTTGTTCCATGCGCTCATGCGCTGTGTCATTATCTTTTCAGGCATATCACACGTCCACTATAAATTCAGGGGCTCGAAGCGAATTTTTCGCTCCGGCATATCCCTGAATTTAAATGGACCACCAGAATTTTAGGTCGTCTTGAATTGTCACCACATTTCACCTCATCAAACAATAAATGATTCCATATCTTTCATTCATTAACACCACCTGCACAAACTATAAACAAGAAAAAGAAAAGGGTATCGTAGAGAAAGTCATAGTTTACAAAAAGCGTCCACGCAAGAAGCAGAAACACCCGAACGCCGTGCTCGTAGAGTATATCGTCTTTGATCTCGTCCCATTATTTTCCTTAGCCAACGCCACTTGTTGCCGTCATATGTCTCTCATCGCCTTTCCGAGAAAAGCAATCATCTGTTGCTTCTCATCTCCTCCAGCTACTTCCAGGAGAGGCATGAATCGGACTCTGCACCACCTCCAACCCAGATTGATGCTGCACCATATTACCACTCCCATTACTACTCGTGCTCCTCACACTCGGTTGCCGTCCATGCATCGGCGTGTTCGATGTTGGACTTCTTCCAATTGGCATACTCGGCATCCTTCCCTTCAATCCGAATCTATTCCTCACGCTCGGACTCGAAGACAGGGGACCACCTTCATGTAGATTTTCGACGAAAGATTGCGGGAATACACCCCAGTTTTTTCCTTTATTCGTGCATCCAGACCAGCACCATTGATCTTGGAATGTGTAGCCGATATTGGTGATCCACTCCCCTTTGCTGAACTTCAACCAGCCACGAGTGGTATCCTTGGCGTCTTTGGGTTTGAAATCCCATTTGGCGGTCGCAACAAGTGGACTCGATTGGTTCATAAGTAGATCCTCTCTTGCTGGTAAGTCAAGTGTGACTGTAGATGCAGGAAATGCTCCTCTTATACCATCATGGTATCCCATACACCAAGTCCCACCGAATTGTGTTGGAAAAGTAACTCCAACGATCTTAGCACCAGCTGCAAAATGCATGGCATTATCTCCAGCAGGGTCACGGAAGCCACTGTGTGATATCTTTGGGTGGTGGGTGACGACAGCAGTAGCAGTTGGTCGAACAGCCACTTTCTGAGCAATTTCCTTGATATTGAAGACGTGTGGGATTGGTTCGGGATTGGGGAAATGTATGTCGAAATCAATTGCTTCAGGAGGTTGTGGACCATACATCATGATGATACCAGCCACTTTAGGCAAAGGCCGAGGATGTGTTGCGAGATGTCGGAATAGTTGGGCTACTGAGAAGAAGATAGTAGCATCGTGCTCTTCGACCGTCTTGTGTTCTTCGATGCAGAAAAGGCACTATAAAGTATTAGTACAGCTTAGATCGATGATAGGGATGACATACCGCATAGCAAGACTCCTCGATTGACTTTGTCTTGAGATGGCATTTCGATATGAATCTTTGTCGGAATCGGATACCAGAGTTTCCATAGATACCAGCACGATCCAACAATCTATCTTTCTCGATATCATTCCAACCGACTTCATAAGAGCATTTGATACATTTGGCTGAGACAGTGGCACTATAATGTCCTGCTGGTCTCTTGTAGATCTTGAATCCAGTCTCGCCTCTGATGAGGGCTCTCGCACCCTCACAGAAACCTCCAAATTTGAAGAATGAGTCATCGTGTCGCATTGGATGGTCAATAGATCTCACTGATGCTGTAGGTACAGCAACAGTTGGTTCATTGGTGTGTGGAGTATTGTCAAAGTCGTCATCGACAGGAATTAGTCCTTCGGAATAATTGGTAGTATCAACGACCTCAAGTCCTTGCTCAACGCCTTCTCCAAAATCAGGTAGTTTCAAGGTTGTAGCGATAGCCTCAAGACCTCCAGAAGAACGGTGCTCACTGAGAGGTGGACTCAGCGGTGCTGATACTCGTAGGCCGAAAATGGAGTCATCCTCGCTATCGTGTCTTCGAGCTGCTGGCCGTTCTTGGAAATTTGAGCTGGCAATTGAGCTTCGATTGGCTTGTGAAGCTCCACCTTGGCTTCTCTGTCGAGTCATCATTGTTTGATAATCACTAGATCTTGATGTTCGACCGTCAATTGGGCTGATTGGCATGCCTCCTGTAGCGGAGACGGGTGTGAGAATTGGACTGGAGGTGTAAATCTCACTGACTCTGTGTTCGTCGATTGATGAAATGGAATGTCGGAATTCTTTTTCAAACATCAGTCGTGAATCTCTTCTGCGGGCTAGGAATTCGTCATTGGCTCTGACACGGCTTTGAACGACTTGACTTGAGATTAAACGACCCTGAGCATCGGTTGCGGTTCCTGGAGAAACCTCGCGAGAGGATCTTTTGGGTGATCTTGCCGGAGGATTCATATGGGCTCCCAGGTCGAATTGAGAAGGGCTTTCAATGGACCAAGGACTCTTCGGCTTGACAGGTTCAGCAGGAGAGATTTCCAGATAGGGTTGATTTTCTTGTGGAGATGGAGCTGGGGTTGGCAGTTGATGCTGGCCTGGTGAAGGCTTAACCATGCTACTCACGGTTGATCTATCATTCTTATGTGTTGACACCAGCGTGGGGTACTGGGATGTAGCTGGAATTGGCAATTGATACTGGCTTGGTGAAGGAAGAACCATGCTAGGATCCCTCATGCTAACCATGGTAGCTCTATCATCGTTGTGTGATGGAGCCTTCTGGGATGTAGCTGGAGGCAATTGATTCGGGCTTGGTGGTAAAGGCAGATTGATGCTAGGTCCCCTCGGTCTCATGCTAGTCAAGAATGATCGATCATCCTTGGGCGAGGAAGCCATTGTAGTCTTCTGGTTTGCAGCCAGACCAACACTATCCTTGACATTGTGGAATATAGCGACGCATTGGTCGGCACAGTTCTGTGCTTCTCGTTCGATGCTGCTGAAGGCTGCAGCCTTGAAGGATCCGGGGTCATCCTCGAAATCTTCGCATTCGTCAATCCGATCCCTCACATCTGATCGTAGATCCTTCAACCGTTGTTTAAGTTCATCTGAACAAGTTAGCAGATGCCTATTCGTGAATGTCGAAGTGAACTCACCGTCGTTCTGCAGAGCCTTACCGAACCGCTCTCCGCATGATGCGACATATTGTTTGTATGAATCACTGATAGTATGCGAGCTTCTATCCAGAGATCTCTGCAGACTCTGGGACGATTCGGTAATCTGCAGTGCTTGTGCAGCAGATGTGTCGCTCGCAGATTTGGAAACTTTGTTTGCTAACTTGATGCCGAGCTCGAAGGCCTTAAGGATGTTCCTCACGGGAGCGACGATCTCGTCTGCCATTTCGCGGGGCCTGGCGAGTGGGCTGGATTGTCAGGATAAATTGGTGTGGTTCCGATGGTCGAAGTGATGCCTGTTCTCTGGTGGTCGTGAGGAAGAGAGATGTGTGAGAGTTGTCCAAATACGTTGAGACAGGTGCGAGCGACTGCGGTCTGTCAAGAGGTGTGCGTGTGCGTGTGAGAGCGGCTCAAGGCTCTCTCTCTGCTGCTGGCCCCTCGTCTTCGCCCTGACTTGGGGACGGGCCAAGCTGGTACCTTCGTACAGACTTGCTTGCTGCCTTCTCACCTCTGGCAGCACTCACACCTCGTCTCCAGCCGATATCGCTCAACGGGGCCTAGGACATTCTTGTTGGCGGATGGTAAGGCTGTCTTCTGGGCTGTGCTACGATGCATGAAGCCATTTTGACTGCGGTGGGCGAATGAATGATCCAAGTAACCGATATCGTCGCACGTGGGGAAAATGCCAATGGTTTTGGTGGAACGGGGACAGAGACAAGAGATGCGAACCACGGTTACTCGAAAGAAGAGGAGAACATTCTAAAGCAAATTAATGTTACTACATATGTCATGAAGGATCAAAAAAATTAACATGACAGGAGAAGAAGACAAGAAGAGAGGAAGAAGAATTAAAATGTCTCAAGTGAGGCTGTCCAAACCCAAATCCCCAACTTCCAGATGCATCCCCGATTGACAGCTTCCCCGCTATGTCGCCTGGGCCAATGGGTGTACAGTACAGTACTGAGATGGGATGTTCATCGCAATCCGGGAAGACGGACCCTAAACAACCTTGAACAATCCCCAAATAGCCTGAAGATAAGGATCTTCAGAGGCCCTGCGTACCCTGTCATCGTGTGAGCCGACCAGACGGAGTGCAGAAACCATTCCAGCGTTCCGGAGCCCTGGATTTCCATCGTTGATGAATTGTTTTTAACTCCATGCGCGATTTATCATCGCCAACGGTGTGGGAGGCTGTCACACCGAGAACGTCGATTCTCAAGCTCAGGGGCATTCGAAATGGAATTTTCAATCCTTGCGATCGTGAGGCTTCACAATCTCCTTCTCAACGCTGTGATTCCTTCGGCGAACCCGGATGAGAGTGCGATGATTGTACAATCTTGTCTCAGGTCTTGGTTCTACCAACGATGTACGGTTCGGGCCTTCACAAGCAAACGAATATTGTAGAGCCGACAAGTGGCAGGTACGGGACGTTGGAAGGGAGGGAGAGAATGCCATCGTGTGATGAATGCACTGTACTGGACATTCAACTATGAAATGAGACTCTAACTCTATATAAGTTCAACATTTGACCCGGAAAAGGCTCCGACGACAACGGCCGTTGGAGGATACCGAACGTGTTACTGAGACATCAGATTTCGGTGGGCGTCAGCATCAGGATCTCGAATGGCTCACCGAGACACCGGCAGCCACAACCTCAAACGCTTGAGAAGAAAGGAAAAGGAAGATACTCGCCGAAACTCGTACCCAATCCTCTGGGAAGAAATCACCACCAAAGCCGATCATTCTCCAAGATGCTCACTACCAGATAAACTTTCAATAGTTCGTATGCAATGCAAGAAATGCATAACCTCATCATGAATCCCCGTGACTTGACCCCCCTTTCTAGTTTCGCAAAGTCAACCCCGACAAAGCTTCTGACGAGGTTAAGACGGAACGCTCACCAAAGCCGCAAAGTAGCCTCCTCAACAGCCTCAGACTGCGTAATGCAACAAAAAAAAGTGACAAGTGCCATTGCCTTGTCAAACTGTGAGCAGTAACTCCACTCACCGTTGATCAGCGCTCCGCTCCGTTGATTGCCTCCTTATTTGGGGGCCGTGAGATGGGAGGATGAGATGAGCACGTGGTGGTTTGAACCTTGTCTTGTTTCTTCTCTTCATCTGTTTGTCTTTCTCGAGAAGAAGTTGTCGTCGTTGTCTCCAGTCTGCCACGGAAATCTACTTTTTGTGTTTGAGAGAAAAACTGTGAGGTGAATGAATGCATCATGAGAAACCAGCAAACAAACACATCCCTGTCCATTTTCTTTTGTTGCACTTCGCAGTGGTGTTTGCTCGGAAAGCTGCATCGACTATGGTAAGGTTCCCATTCGTTCGATAAGTAAACTCTTCGAGATCTGCATTGCGTGAACAGGGATGGAGCTTGTACGATGTGAACTCCAGAATAGGAAGTCCTTGAGAAGGATGACTGTGCGTAAGGAAGCTTATTTTCTAGGCAACGAACTTTCTCTCTGACTTCTGGAACCTTTTGCGATGCGATGATGACGTTGAGTTGTGGCTTGTCGTTCGATATTCACAGCCTTGGCACAGCCTGGTCACGAGATAGATGTCTCCGAGGCTGTCCTGTGGCTTAGTTTACGCCTACCTCCTGTAGCAGCCAATTGAAGACGAGTTTGAGAAGGCATCGTATCCGCCTTGACGCTTGAAACTTTGACGAAGCAAGACAGAGGAGCCAGAGGAGCCGGAGGCATGCTGAAGAACAGCCTTCCAATCTCACCCAGCTACACGGCAGACGCAGACATGACGAGAAACTCCCCGAACTCATCAAGTGATGATTATCTCCATTTAAATCCGTTTCCACTCCCTTCCTCTAAGCACGACTCCTCCCCATCAACCAACAAAAAACGATGCAGCCGTTGCATCACCCAGCCCAAGATTTCCCAAATTCCAGTTCTTCTCAACAGTCGCCATCTGCGAATAATGGTTAAACGCCGTATTATTCGTCGTCCCTACCAAAGAAGCCGGGATTGCATCTCCAAGCAATATTGAGTACACTTGGTTATTGCTCGTATAACTTTCCGTTTCATCGAATGCTATTTTCGTCAGCTTTTCATCAATTTCCTTGCTCTCAGTCAGACTCACTCAAAAGGATCAAGGTATTCTGCATGAAATTACTGTTGCTCAACAAGGGAGTCAGGAAACTTCTCGCCCATGCTCCTGCTACGGTGACGGATGTATCGTGGCCATCATTTGCTGCATCTGTTAGTTCTACTCCAAGTGGAATGGAAAAGAGGTAAAATACTCATGTTTGGGGTAATGAACATCCATTGCGGCAACTGATTATTCGCCAAATCAGTCTCGAACATGGTAAAGTTCTTGATCTTGGCAAGACGGTCAAGATTCGAGGTCACGGAGTCGTAACTCATTAATCCACTGATTCCCGTTATTGCTGTGCTTTTCAAAGAAAGGGAAACGAGGGTGGAAAACGTACTTATGTTTCCTAACATAATCATTTGCGCCCGTCTGCTGATTGATATAATTTCCCTCGAAACCAGAGTAAGGCGAGTCCTGCTGGTACTCACTCCAACTTACACCTCCGGCTTCAAGTAGATCCACAATCGTCTGTGAAGAACTGTTGATTCGAGAGAATGAATCACTGCTGATGCCGTGCGTCGAACCACCTACTGCCGCAACGTAGTTCGGTTGTGAAGGGTGTGTGATGGCGAGGTAATTGGTGAGAAGAATTCCTTGAGTGGCTAGGTACGCGAAGTTTGCTGGGTTGAGAGTTAGTAGTTTATTTGAAACATCTTCTCTTTTTCCTGTTGTTCATTCTAATCGCTAGAGAAATGAAGCAGAGAATAAGATTGGGGAAAGAGAGACAAACGATCAGCAGCAGCCATCGAATAATCCGTATTCTCGCACCAAATCGTCACAAATCGATTAAAACTCTTCCCCACCACATCACTAGTCGGACTTTCCGTCAAAGCAGTAGCCCTTGCCTTCGCCACTGCCGCCGTGCCAGTAGACGTATATTGGGTCTGAGCCAACACCCTCGCCACTCCACCAAGGAGGAACAATAATCGAGAATGCATCTTCGAAAAGGTCAGAATGAGAGTGAGAAGAGAAAATCCGAGAGAAAAACGGAGGATATGTACAGCCGAATAGCGCGGGGCGGCTGTTCCCTATTTATGCTTAAATGATCCACGATCTTAACGCCTTCTAGAAGGAAACAAGTTTACTAGCAGTGACATTCCACCTCCAGCACAATACCCATGACCTCCTCATTCCTTGCATCACCTACCCAATCCGTACCTCGCCCACACCTGTATACAAATACTACTGAACATCAAGATGTCGATCATCCAGAAACGTGCTCCTCCATTGGATGGGAAAAGCTCGAGTGCCGCATGCGCTAAAACACAACTCCCGCCTCGGAACTTGGGGTTGAGATTGAGATGCCACCTTCCGGATATGGATCCGTGTTCCGATGCAGGAACACTTGTTTGGCGGGGGTGAACATTTTGAGGATGATTTACCAATGAGGGGTTGGGGTGGAGGCACGAGGATTGTGGGATGAGAATGTAGTTGTTCTTCGATTTGAGGATATTTGAAGGAGGGCTTTTGGAATTGATTTTCCAGTCAACATTATTCTGCTAATCAAATTCTGCCTTAAAATACTTCCCTACTATCTATCCATCACCCCTCACATCCTAGCCTTCATTCGCGCCCGGCCTTAGTACCCGTTGACGTTGCCGTGCTGCTCGTTAACGGAGGATGATGTCGTGGTGGTCCCAACACAATATGCATCGCCGGCAAGAAGACCTTGACAGTCCCCCTTGGCGTTATTGACGGCGGGATTGAGCGTGTAGAAGAGAGAAAGCGAGATTCCGGCTTCAGTGGCGAGATCGGCGCAGAAGAGCCCGGGGGTCTGCAGAACCCATGCATTGCAGTTGGCTGCAATCCCGGTCTGAGTCGGACCCGGGGCGGTGGAAAAGATGATCGTGGTCGTGCCGCTGCTGGTCTTCGTTGCTGCTGCGCTGCTGCTGGTGGGAACGCTTGCCGTGCTTGTGAAGTTGAGGTAACCTATCCCGTGATGTTGCACGAGCCATAAGGTTATGCGGATTGACTGTTCATGGCGGATTTAAAATTTAATATGGGAGACAAGACATGATGACGTGGGATTGAGGTCAATTTACTTACCATCCTAGAATATCTAAACATGCATACTCGGTCGAGCCACAATATCCTGCTGACGAACAACAACTGCCAAACGTCGAGCCTTTGCAAATCAGACCGCCGCTAAACCCGCAGGTTCCGTCCGTGGAAATCGATCCTGCAGTCTGAGTAGGGTGGGCACTCGTGGTTGTAGTGGTTGTAGTTACAGTCGAATCAGTACAGGTACCGCTCTGGCATCCGGTGCCGCAGAATGTGGTTCCATTTCCACAGAATCCAAACTCGGAACAACAGTCTCCAAATTGGGGAGGACACTCGGTCCATTGAATTTGGCTGCCGCAGGTACCATCTGTGGAATATGGAATAGGTGCACCATCGCAAGTGCCCTCTTGGCAAACTCCTGTCTTGACATTAGCGACTGGTCTGGATCAGCGTGAAGTTCTGAAATCTTAAACACAGATGCCGGCGCTGTCGTAGGCTCGTTGCGATCATGCTTAAATCCTGTGGGTAGGCCGGCCTGGGATATCTTTTAAAAATTTCAAAGAAATATAAAAGATAGATGTATACTAGTTTGAGATGGGTCGATGACAACGTTTTAGATCCCGCACGTTGGCTAGAGTGGCTCGTTCTACTCATAGATTTTAAGTACGTCCCGTTTCGTTGGAGGCACTGGTCCGTGTGGGTCCAATGTAAAAGGCTTCCCTTCTATACCGGAGCCAGAAATGAGAACGTAGACAATGGGGATCTATGAGTTCAAGACACGTCAAGCTTACCGAGGCCGCAAAAGATTTCCCCAGTACCACAACTATCGTCGTCAGAAGATGAACGATAATCACAATACTAGATAGAGAATGGGACGCATACAAGCCACCAATTCCACAACAAGCTCCAGCTGAGCTTCCAATACAAGTATTCGTCCAATTCTGCTGCGCACCACACAAACCATTCGTGGACACCGGAATTGGGCTCCCACTTGCTAACCATCCTGTTAGTCAATACTTCTCTTCGTCTCAGCCTCGAGCGTGTCACCTACGGACAGAGAGGCAGTAAGTAGCCCCAGGTTGGAAATTGGCGCAATTCGCACCGATGTTGGGATTTGCACTCTTGAAGTAATCCAAAGTGAGGTTGAATTCAGAGAGCAGAGCGGCGCAGCTGGTCCAGATATCGGTTTGGAGGCTGAGACGACAGGTCCCGTTGCTTGACGACTGTCGTCGGAGTAGTCGAGAGTATTTTTGCAGCAGGCTGCCTGATTCTAACATGCCAAATCCGAGGGACTCCAGGATTGAGTCGGACGCTACGCCGATGGCGAGTAGAGGCAGAACAATGAAAGGGGCGCGCATCTTGATACTTGCAGCACTAGGTAACTACTCGAGGAGAAGAATAGAGGCTGGATTGTAAAGTAGATCTAGAAATACTGGATGCGTGCTCAACATTAGAAAGAATACCCCTGTACCCCAGGCACTACTGTGTGGCAGATCCCATGGCTGACCATCTCTTTAATCCCCTCGGTAATGGATTGGTACATTCTCATTGTGAGCAGTGTACCGGGTAGATTAAGGTGATCCAGGGTCCTGCAGAAGTGGCGGCTTACTTCCCTTCACCGAGGAGTTTATGCGAGACAGAGTTGCATTCAGCACCTCGACAGGCAAGTGACACAGACTTCGTAGACCTACTGCTCTAATGGGTGCACCCCGGAGTCTCAACGTGACGGTTCATTAACTCGTCTGCAACCCTCTCGTACTCTGGTCCCTTTTCTCGAGGGAAAATTCTATCCCTTACTCTCTTGAGTCGTATGATAGCTTTAGAATGCCATCCCATTGGTATATGCATGCAAATAGTTACCTCCCTTGTCTACTTGATTAATTTCTAAAATTCGCCCTGTCAAGTAAGCATTTAGCTGACTCAAACTTAGTATTCTCCTTCCAAATTCGGTGAGACTTCTGAGCTGACCACCATTTCCACTTGGTATAACCCGAGTCTAGTATATTCTGATTTTGGTCAGATATTAAGTCTCCCGTGCCCCGGTTACTATGTTTCAGTGACCTATTCGCGGGTTTTAGGGACAGTCTAGGCTTTTGCAATAAGAGCCCGGCTGTTCTAACAAACGCGAAGGCAGAGAAAATAGGGGTTTTATCCTTTTTTTCCTTCTATATATTTGCGCATTCTCTCGCTTTTAACTTCAGTTCTTTCACTCCTCATGCTAGGGCCCGGGAGCATTGGGAGCACTAGGAGCCCCACGGACACTGCACTGAATGCACGGAATGCACTGAATGTCGGCTACACCGCTGCACTGCTGCACTGCTACACTGTACTGACTACACTGTACTCTGTACTACTGCACTGTACTGACTGTAACGACTGACTGTATGATTACATTGTATTGACTACATTGTACTGAGTATACTGCACTGTTGGACTGCAATCTGTGCTGCTGCATTGTACTGACTGATTGCACTGTTGATTGCACTATTGATTGCACTGTACTGCTGCACTGCGAGTAAGCTCCTTGTCAGCCTGTGAGCAGTAAATAAGGGCTGAGGATTGAGTGCTAAGGACTAAGAGCTAAAGCATAAAACTGAGTGCATTCTCAAAGAGTGGGGAATTAGGCGCAGCTAGTGAGGATGACTTCATTCTGTCCGGGCTGTTATTGAAAAAGCCTAGACTGTCCCTAAAACCCGCGGACCTATTGGAATAATCCGAGTCCGGTATAGCTTGATGCTGGTCAAATATTGAATACACTGTCGAACGTTGCAGTCAAAAGAACGATGAAAATCAGTTATTCAATGATGATTCTGTGTACTCATTGTTCTATTCAGTAGTCGAGAGAATGAAACGTTTTCATCAGCCGACCACGCTATTTCTCTTTGGGAACACTATGCGACATATACCATGCTGCAGGTACTACCCCTCAGTGGCTTATTTGGAATAAGCCGAGTCCGGTATGGCTTGATGCTGGTCAGATATCCCATGCTCCAGGTACTACGTCTCAGTCAAGCAGGACAAGGCTACAGGTCTTGAAGTGGTCGGGTGAGAATTCAGGATAGCTCATAAAGATGCCGAAACTTGGAGAACACTGTTTTCTAGACAGGAGCTATCCTCTGTTGTCAATCTTCAAGTCAATTTTGATTCCGATTATCCACATCGTGCAAAGTTTCAGCAATGAGACTCAAAGGATCTTGGACAATGTCCGTTTTGCGGCTTTTCGTCTTTCTGGGAGCCATAACTTTTGTCTCAGGCCAGCCGCCACCAAACAGACCTCTTCTCATTTATAACTGTGCAAAAATGCCTTCGGTTTGTCGAAATGTCAACCAGAGAAATCCTCTCCAGACTATTCCCGGAAATGCTGCTGCTGGTAATCTTGGACTGCTGATCCCAGGTCAAAATGGAGGACAAAATTTCATCACTCTCACCTTTGATACGAATAACGGTAATAAAAGAGCACGACGAAATGCAGCTTGCCCGTCGAACTAGAAGGCACAAATTCAGAATGCTTGCCCAAAGGTAGACCAGCCACCCACGGTTCCATCCAGCTCATCTTGGAGTAGTCTTACAGCGTACATTAGAATGAGATGGAATCCCAACGGGCTCCTTTTCGGGCAGGCTGGCTACAACGTGATTGCCAATCAGGCTCAGACCGGTCCAAGTGGGATGATGTGGACCTGTGATGAGTGGCCACCTGCTATGTAAGTATCAATAAGTCAATCTTGTAATAGAAACTTATGAGTAACTAGTACCGTGGAAGGTGGCTAAAATGCCTTGACGTACTGTGCACCCCAGAATGGCAGGTGCGGTGGCTCCCAGTTTGGAGGAACATTCTCTGAGAAGGTTCATCGCTCTACCTAATGCTAGAGTCGGGATGCTGATCGTGATATTTCTCCAGGATATCCAAGGCAATATTCATAGCGCTCTGCGAAAGCGTATTACAGACGCCCGAGCAGCCGTGTCACCACCTGCCGGACAGTATCCGTTTTCTTTCCAAACTGCTGGGCAGGACATTGGTGGAGCTCCTAGTGCTGCTGTAGTATGGTTCCAGTTGCTGCAAACTGTGAACTCAGTATACCAAAGAGAAATAGGTCAAACTCTTATGTATGTTGATCTCGTCTATGAAAACGGCTCCGCGGCATCATTCGCTCGGCCACTGACAGAGACTGAGGTACGTACAACTAATCATCTAATCATACCGAAAGCACTTCCTGATCCGAACAAATTGTAGGAGGCGGGACACACCGAGTTCTATAAGCGTGTCAAGCGCGAGACGGAAGCTGTTAAACTGATCAGTAGTGGCAATGCGTCGCAGTTTCCAGTCTTGCCACCTGTTCAGCAAAGATTCGAAACACTTCTGGTGGCCCCTCCTCTTCCCATTATTGCCATCAGAGATATTTTTGTGAAAAGATTGGCACGCCTACCATTTCACTCATATATGAGCGGGATCATGGGTATTTTCCAAGGAGCAATACCCACAACCGCAGTGCCTCAGCCCACAATTTCCAAACCAATTCCCACCAGCTCTGCAGCAGCTCATGGATTGAACTTGACGCGACGCACTGTCGATGATTCCTACCCTCTGACGCATGATCTTCATCGACGTCAGGTAACAACATGCCGTGCTGGCAATCCTTGCTCCGACGGCTCTTGCTGTAGTTCAGGAGGTACTTGCGGTTATGGAATACAAAACTGCGGCACTGGTTGCAGTAGCAATTGTGAGTTCAGCTATAGTGAGTAAAATTCTGGGTCATTAACCAAGAGTAGGTGGCGCGACTGCAAACTGTAGGCGTGATAGTCTGGGTGGAAATGTAACTTGTCCCCTGGACGTGTGTTGCAGTTACTTTGGATATTGTGGTGTATGTCCCCTCCCTCCCCCCCAAATTTTGTGGTTTGTCGACAATCGATTTTAACAGACGTCATCCTTCAGGTTGGAACCGACTTCTGTAGCTCCCCAATCCCTGGTTCACCTTGCCAGGCAAGCTTTGGTTCTTGCTCTCTCGTTACGGCTCCCGCGTGCGGCGGCAGCTCAGCGCTCGGCCGAAACATTGCCTACTATCAGGTTGGGAACAACCATGGACGCGAGTGCCAACGCATCAGTCCAGCGCAGATCAACACAGCGGGTTTGACTCACATATTTCTTGCGTTTGCGAGCATAGACCCGGCAACATTTGCCATCGTCCCTACCGATGCTCGTGATGTGCCTTACTATACTCAGTTCACTGCTCTCAAGACGTCCACACTTCAGACGTGGGTTTCATTCAATAGGCGGCTGGGACTTCAGCGATCCTGGTCCAACGCAATCTACCTTTAGTCAGGTTGTCAGCACAGCTAGCAATCGAGCTGCCTTCATATCGTCTCTAAAGAGCTTTATGCTCCAATACGGGTTCCCGGGTGTAGATATCGATTGGGAGTATCCAGGTGCTCCTGATAGAGACGGTGTTCCCAGTGACACGGAAAACTTTGTTTCGCTCCTCCGGGAAATGCGAGCATCGTTTGGCACAGAGTTCGGTATCAGCGCTGCGCTACGCTACCTGCTTCGTACTGGTACTGTACCTGAGGTGGTTCGACCCGGTGGCAATGGAACCGTTTGTTGATTTCTTCGGCCTGTTAGCTTACGATCTTCACGGTCCCTGGGACAAAACTGTAGTAGACGTTGGTCCTGTCATCGTTGGTCAAACAAACATCCCCGAACTTTTCAACTGGACCCTTCCACTGTGGTACGACAAGGTCGATCCATCCAAGATCAACATGGGCTTGGCTTACTACGGTAGAGGTTATACCGTAGAAAGTGTCGATTGCACAACAGTACAGTAGGGTGCACATGGATTGGTCCTAGCGATCCGGGTCCCTGCATGCACTGCTTACCCAGGCATAATGTCGTTACAAGAAATCGCGAATCTGATTCCCCAGCTGGGCATCACGCCGATGATTCTGGACTCGACTGCCATGATGAAATATCTCGTTTGGAGTAACCAGTGGCTCGGCTACGATGATCTCGAGACGATCGCGATGAAGAAGACAGACATGGGCCAGTTCTCATTGTTTCGGAGGAACAATGACATGGAGTATTGATCTCTTCTCTGGTTCAGGTTCGGGCAATACTCCTAACGGCAACTCCACGTGTAGCACTGGCCCGGGAGGGACAAACGGGCAGAGTGGACAGGGCCGGGCGTTTGTATCAGGCACGTGATTCTTGATACAGCCTGAGTTGAGATAATGCTTGATTATCAAAATGTATTATGATAGCGCCTTGTAGCTCTTCCGCCAGGTTTCTGGCTATGGAACTAATCGGAAGCATCCTTCTTTGGCTAAGATGATTAATTCTGTTGATAAGAACCTGTTCTCAGTACTGTTGAATTGTATTTCCGAGACAAACAGGCTTCGTTGTGAACCAGAGTCCAAAGCACCCGACAACTCACCTGTGTGATTCTATCCGAACTATCCTTCCTCAGCTGGTGCATCTCCGCCTTCGCCTCCCAGCGATATGCTCCGCACTTTTCGGCGTTGAATCTCACGGAGAAAATGCCAGCTACCAAGCTATATATATCCACCCCGCAACCCAAATCTTGCATCATCATCAACCTCGCTGGACGCGAACCTGGCCCTACCTCCTCTGACGCCATGGCAACACGATGCCGCGACAACTACAGTCAGACCTCTCACGTTGGATCCATGACCCGCTTCCCGTCCTCTCTGCCACCGCTTGTCCCTAGCTTAAAGGCTTTTGCCCGTCTCAACTCGAATCTGCAGCGCTTCTGGGTCATTGATGTGCAGCCGCGAGACCCTACGCAACCGCATCAGTGGGCTGCTTTCGTACGCCGCGACGTCTGAACCGACGCCAGTTTCCCTGTACCAGTAGCTAACATTGGCTCTTTTTTCAGTGACGAATGGTTGTCGCGTGTACCAAAGGAGCGATCGAGGGTCGAGGATTGGTTAGTGCCGCTTGCCTTGTTGGAGAGGGTGGCTGAGGATGGTGCTTGGAGCGAGACTGCAACAGGCGTGCGTTTGGCGACACCTACTTTACGAGGCGGTGAGATCGTTCCTAAGGGGCGTATCAGACCGCAGTCCGAGGAAGAGAATGGTGGCACTCATATCTTGTGGCGGAATGAGAAAATGGCTGGTAAGAGAATGCTGCCAGAGGGTCCTGGCCCGTTCATGCAGAATTGGGACATGAATGAGAGGACACCAAGCGGATGGACGAGGGAGAACCATATGGGCTCAAGCATAGTCAGAGTATGAATTTCAATCAACGGGAAGTAAGTTGCTGTTGCTATTGCTGTGACTTTGAAGCCTGAAATCGGCGCAACAAAGAGAGAAGGCCACTTCGGAACCGAACCACCTCACCTTCTATCCAGGAGGTTTTCCAAGCAAAATAACTCTCCTCGTCACTGAGATGCTAACTGTTTGCAGCCATTAAAGACCTGCTCGAGACGAGTCTTCTGGCCATCTTCCTAAGTTTCACAGCCTTCTGATTCCGAGTGTCTGAAAAGCTCCTTGACATTTATTGACCTTACAATGCAAAAGAAAAGAAAATTCATCGTCACTTGCACACAATCATTCGTTGACAATCATCCATTACTGTCTATGGCATGATTGATCTATTTAAGCGCCGCCACTGCTGAGTCGTTTTCCAATCACCGCTGGCAGACCCATATCGGAGGGCTGAACATGTCCTCCTAGACTCCACAACTCGCCATTCGCCCTTGTCCTACATCCACCCCATTCATCCGCTCCTGAAGCCTTCCCCTTTTCCCCTCACTCTGTATGGGTGCCGAATTGACGTTGGATTGCTATTAGACTTCTCCCCATCAACCGGCTCCTCGTTGGTGGCGAGTCCTCTCTTGAGGTTTGAGTAGCGATGGTTTCGATTTGGTGTATCTGAGGTGAAAGTTCCCATCAATTGGTCTCGTTCTGAGCGTGCGGAGTAATCTGCTCTCCGGATATTGGGAACTCGTCAATAACACCATTAAATGTCGAAGAGTCCGTCAACTACTCAAGGAATGTTAGCAAATCTGGAAATTCAATAGAAATTCTCTTGGATGTCAGGGAACTCGTCGATAACATCCTTGAAGGTCGACATCTTTCACTCCTCGTGAGTCGACACTTCCCCTCGCAGCCTGCTCAGCTTCTTCGATACTTGCCCGCGGCAATGTTTTCCCTCTATCGTATGAGGGATGATACCTCTCAGCCTTCTCAACTGCTTCAATACTTGCCCGCGGCAATGTTTTCCTTTTATCGCATGAAGAATGGTACCACATATATTAGATCCGACGTCAATAATGGCTTTAGTATTGCTTTGTTGAAATCCTTAGCCATGCGTTTGCGAACATATTTAACAATATAAACCCAGCGTAAAGTTTAATGGTTACGATTAAATTGATTAATAATTAAGGTGTACTTGTCTTCTTGCGTATTAAAAATCTAAGTAGTGTGGGACGAGACAATATAATCTAATGCATCATCGCTCTCAAAGTCCATACTAACCAACTTAATAATAGTGATACAATCCTTGAATTTGTTAGCAACACGAACCGGGAAATAAGCGCAGACTTTGAAGGTGTTACCTATATGAATCTCACAATGGTATACCTCAACGTTTTTAGCTTCCCTACCAATGATTGGAGGGATGACACGCTTGGAGCATCCCTGGCTATTATGCAAAGACAATTGCTGCTTTGTCAGGTTAATCCGATCTCCTTTATCTCCGACGCCCCCCTGGAGGGATGGTACGTTGGAGGTTATCTCGGAGGTGTCGGTGAATGTAATTGAGGACCTTGCATCGGTTCTTCTCGGCTTCGAGAATCAAGGATACCGATCTTCATGCATCTGCAACATTGAAAGCACTCAACATATTTCTTAGCTCAGAAATGTTTGGCAACGCACTAGTGCCGAAGGGATGCTCGACGATTGCGAAGTTGTCCGACTCATTCTCTTTGCCTCCACTCGTCCGACTCGAGGCTGGAGGAGAGACTTGTTGCGCGAGAGCAATCAAGCTCTCACTTATAGGACAACACACATGCCCCAAATCATCTCCCCCCCCCCCCCCCCCCCCCCCCCCCCCCCCCCCCCCCCCCCCCCCCCCCTTCCTACTTCGCCGAAAAGGCTATAAAGCCCCAACCAACTCCTAAGACTGAAAAGGAAGAATATGTTATGACCCATGGCGATCTCGGACCCCACAACGTCATGATGGATGTGGAAACATTGGAGGTAATCTCTATCATCGACTAAGAGTATAGCGGTTACTTTCCCCCAGAATTTCAGAAATAGTGTCACAGCGCCGGCTGTTACGGATCACCTGAGCCCATCGCCTGAGCCAATCGCCTGTCCTAATCGCCTGTGACAGAGGCCAGGCCGGGAATGGTGGCGTTCCCGAGCTTTAAGCCTAATGGGGCTTAGCTCCTCACCTGACATCCCCTTACTTCTGACATGTATATGTATATAGATCTCTCCTCCTCTCCTTTCTTCTCTCCTTAGCTTTAGATTCTAAATGAATAGCCCGACGTTGCGTCGCCACCTCACACCATCGTCACAGTGCTGTCACAATAACGCCGAATTAAACGTTACGTTAGTTTTCCGTTTTAATAAATAAATAAATATGTTACGACTCTCTCCTTACCCTGGTAAGGTCACGTGGGTTGGTATGGTGAATGAAGTAAGATAAGGCAATGATATTGTAGTTAGGAAAGCTTAATCAAGTTGAGCACAAGGCTCCTACCTAGTGGGCGACAGCCCGTTGTTATATAGAACCTCTATCCTCCAGATTAATGAGCCTCATTAACCCTCAATGAGGATCAATGATCTATCAGGTGACCCGCTATCCTATTTCGGTCCCTCGCCTGCTAGGCCTATGGCCCCCAAGCCCCGTGATTGTGATACTATCCCCTATTCCTCCTAGCGCAGTCCCGTGCGCATAACTAGGGCAAGGGATTATCTTATGGCGAGGCAAGGCCCTCCTTCCTTTCCATTATGCCACGCCTTCTCAAAGAAACCTCAGTTAAAGACAAAGAGAGAAAACGCTACGCCCAACGAATCCTTGACGCGAGTACCGAAATGATCTCCTGCTTAGCCTGCGAACGAGCCGGCAAAAGGTGCCAGGCTCGAGAAGGTATCTCGAGATGCGCCGAGTGCGTTCGTTGAGGCTTCTCACGATGCGACATAGGAGGTCCCATGCCGCAGGACTAGTCCTCTTTGGACAATAATAAGGAAAAACTAGAACGAGAGTTGGACGAGGCTCTTGCGAAACAGCAAGAGATCGCCGCGCGTATCGAGCGTATCCAACAACAACGTAAGTTTCTGAGGAAACGAGAGACCGAGATGCTCCGCTGTGGCCTCGAGTCTCTGGATGAGCTGGATGCTGCCGAAGAAAAGGAACGGTTGGATAAAGAGCGGTTGGAGAGGGATCTGCGGGAACGGCCCGCAATCTCGTCTCCAATTAGCTGGGATCCTAGTATCGACTGGAATGCCCTGGAAGAGTCTTTTCTTCCTGGTCCTAATATCTCCTCCGCTGCTCCCGTCTGGGAAGTCTAGGATACCGGTGGTGAAAGTCAGTCAGGATCTCAGGGCAGTTGAGATTTGACTTTGGCTCCCAAGTGTTTTCTAACTGTAGGTATCCTTCCCACTTAACCAAGTACTTGATCTTTCCTCTAATATACTTGCAATCTAGTATCTGTTCCACCTCATACTCGGCGTTTGGGTTGACTAGGTCGATTTCGACTTGAGGAGCTGGTGGCGCTCCCGGTGGCGCGAGCTCGAGAAGTGATATGTGGAATGTTGGGTATATCCTTATATTCTTAGGCAACTGCAATTCATAATTAATAGGTCCTTTCACTCTTTTGATCTTATATAGCCCAAGCTTCCTGTAGTCGAGTTTGTCGCTTAGCCTCTTAGTTTTGATGTTTTTTCTAATCAAATATACCCTATCCCCCTCTTTTAGCGTAGGCTCCTGGCTACGTCGCTTGTTGTAGTAGTGTGTAGTGCGCTTAGAAACAAACTGTAACTCAGAGGCTAGCTAGGTGTGTAGTTCCTTGATCTTAGAGACACGGATCCTAGCCAGGTTATTATCGATAGCTATAATGCCTGGTTCTCTGTATGCTACGGGTTTATAACCGAAGTTGGCATAGAAA